TACTGAAAGTGCTGGAGGACATGATTGCTGAGCCACCTTCAGTGGTCTTTGAAAAAGTGGGGAGAAATTGATAAATGGTCAAAGGATATGAGTAGGCAGTTTTCAGATGAAGGAATTAAAGCCATCTATAGTCATGTGAAAAAATACTCTAAATCACTATTGATCAGAGAAATAAAAATCAAAACAACTCTGAGGTACCATATCACACCTATCAGATTAGCCAACATGACAAAACAGTAAAATGATAAATGTTGGAGAAGATGTGGGAAAATTGGAACATTAATGCATTGTTGGTGGAGTTGTGAAATGATCCAACCATTTTGGAGAGCAATTTTGAACTATGCCCAAAGGGCTATAAAAATGTGCATACCCTTTGACCCAGCAATAGCACTTCTAGGGTTGTATCCCAGAGAGATTATACAAATGGGAAAAGGACCCATATGTACAAAAATATTTACAGCAGCTCTTTTTGTGGTGGCAAAGAATTGGAAATTGAGAGGATGCCCATCAATTGGGGAATGGCTGAACAAGTTGTGGTATATGAATGTCATGGAATACTATTGTTCTATGAGAGATGACGAGCAGGCAGACTTCAGAAAAACCTGGAAAGACTTGTATGGACTGATGCTAAATGAATGGACTGATGCTAAGTGAAGTGAGTAGAACCAGGAGAACGCTGTATGCAGTACTGTGCGATGACTAACGTTGATAGACTTAGCCCTTCTCAGCAATGCAAGGATTTAAGACATCTCTAAAGACCTCATGAAGGGAAATGCTATCCACATCCAAAGAAAGAACTGTGGAGTTTGAATGCAGATCGAAGCACACTATTTGCTATTTTTTCTTCTGTTGTGTTTTATTTCCTCTTTCTTGTGGTTCCTCCTGTTGGTTCTAATTCTTCCTTACATCACTAATGTGAAAATATGTTTAATACGAATGTATATGTATAGCCTATATCAGATTGTGCACTGTCTTGGGGAAGGAGGGAGGGGAAGAAAAATTTAAAACTCAAAAGCTTATGGAAGTGATTGTTAATAAATCAAAATAAATTTAAAAAAAATAGATGTCTTAGATAAAGGCTTAGCTGGCATACTTTTAAAATCTGCAGATAGCATGCCAGGTGGCAGAATCCAGAACAATGTTGACAGGCTCAAATTTGGGGCTGAGTGTAGTAAGATGAAATTAATAGGGATAAATATAAAGTTTTATACTTGGGTTTTAAGAAATCAACTTCATGATCATAAGACTGCCATGACTAGATAGAGTAAATCATGGCCCACATGAATGGGAAACCTTAATAGAAGTCAGGAATGTGATGCAGCCGCCCAAAAGGCTGCCTTCTGCTCTATTAATGGAGGAATGAAGTTCCTGTCCCACCATACTGGATCCATTCTGATCAACTCCGACTGCTGTATTGTGTTCTGGGCGGAGCACCACACTTTAGGGAAAACACTGATAAGTTAGGAAATGTCCACAGGAGGGTAATGGGGATAGTGAAGAACCTCAAGGTCCCGCCAAGTCCTGGAGAAGTTTAGCCTGCAGAAGGCAAGGCTTAGGACCTGAGAGCTATCACCACTCATTTATTTGAATCAGAAGGATTCATATCTGAAAAGGGCACAGAGGTTTGCAAAGTGTTTTCCCCATAGTGACCAAGCTGAGTCATGAGGCCTGGACTCCTTTCTAAGATCCTTCTCTTTGTCAGAGAAGACAGAACCAAAAGGAAAGTAGTTCTGACTCTGGGCCATCATCCCATCCACCCTGAGCATCAGTCCTGTACCCTTTCTGGATCCTCTCTTGTCCCAGTGGAATTTTCAAAAATCTCTTTTTTGCCCTTAGCATTCATTGCCAGCCTGAGCTCATTCTGTGTTTTATGCTCAGCTGGACATTATTCTTGCAAGACCATGCAAAGTTCTATTCATCCTGTTTTGAAAGTGAAGCCGATTTAGCTTTGATACAAGGATTGGTTTCCAAACAATTAGAGTTATCCTGAAAGTGGACTGCACCCTCCCTAGAAGTCTTCCAGCAAAGGCCGGATACCTCCTTGCTGGGAATGTTGCAGAGGGGATTTTTGGTTGGGCATGGGTAACAACCCATGGCTTAGATGGCCTTGAAGGGCCCTCCCAGCTCTGATTCTGTAATTCTGAGCTTATCGGCCCAGGCAACAGTAGGGGCACTCGGCTGAGTCCAGAGACCTGAGAATTTCAGAAGGCAGTCAACCACCCCCTCCCCAGATTCCCACAGGAAATTACATCTTCATTTTTAAAAATCTACTTTTAAAGGATAAGTATACCAACCTACAGGAGGACTCTTCTAAACTACAGACTGGTCAGTTAGCTTTCTATTTCAAGGGAGAGCGTCCGTGTATGTGTTGGGAAGGGTTCACTTCAGACCAACATAGACCTCAATCCCCTGCGCCTCACCCAGTCTCTCTCCTTTGAGGGCCTTCATTTGTCAGGAAATTGGTTTCTGTTTTTGGGACATCTTCACTCCGTTTCCTCTCTTCTCCCCTCCATTCCTTCCCCATGGATATTTTATCCTTAACTGATCACACACTGTCTCCACTGGTATAAGTTGTAGGCCCCTCCATACCTTCTAATTCTATGAGGTCCTGATCCCTGTAGTTCTGTGAGTCCTCTGCACAAGATCAAATCAATACGCTAGAAGCCTTGTTAGGACTATTTTACTGTTTCAGGGATGCCAAGGTAGGATTATAACTGTTTCCTGATCATACTTGGTCAGCTTTTAAGTCAGCGTTAGTAACGTGGTAGCGCTTCGTCACCTGCACTGGATGTCATTCCTTTGCCATGTGGGCTACCTGCAATTTTGATCAGTGAGATCAAAGATCTTCAGAGATCACTGTCCCGTGACTCTTAGCTTTGTAATATCATCAGAAGAATATTGATGAAGATAGGTTTTGGGATCATTGATGAGTTGCTGTAATTTCCCAAATTTAACACAGCCTGTGTGTGTGTGTGTGTGTGTGTGTGTGTGTGTGTGTGTGTGGTTATATTTTTGAATATTTTATATTTCCTGTTCTTACTTTACAAAATAGTTGAGTGGGACGCTTTTCTCTCTTGATGAAGTATCTGAATAAACCGGGTTGTCTTCCTCTGCCCTTAGAATCCTTGCATCTCTTCAAGGTGCTTCTCAGGGGCCATCTCCTCTGGGAAGCAGCCCCACTCGTCAGACTGTCTTGTATTTGCTCATCTGTTTACTTGTTGTGTTCTCCAGGAGAATGGACAGGCTTGGAAGGCAGGGACTGTCTGCCATGTTTGTTTTTGTGTTTCCAGTGCCTTGTGCTTAGTGGGTATATCATAAATGCTTGTTGAGTGAAATGCATTTGCTTGTATGTATCTGTAGCCCTTTATTGATTTTTCTTCTCTTGTCCATCATTGACCCTTGATAGAAAAGAGTCCTCACACCTGACTTGGGCCATCAAGTGGTTTTAGGAAGATGAGAAGACAGAATATGGCAGGAATGTGATTTAATGAACAAACTTAAGTAAAGTTCTTTGCAAACCTAATGCTTATGTTGGGCCATTAAAATGGAAGAAGTCTTTGTGCCACAAAGATAGGGAGATGGTCTCATTTTTCCTTATTTTTGGGAAGCAAGAAAGCTGGTTTGACTGATGTCTGTGTGACCTTAAGCAAGAGGCCTGATCTAATGGAAAGCATGTGAGGCCTAGAGTCAGGAGGCCTAGATTACAGTCTTGGCCCTGTCATGAACTCACTCTGGGACCTTGGGCATAGACAGAGCTCCTTCTCCGTAGAATGAGGAGGATGGAACTAGACAATCTATCTCTAAGGCCTTTTCTGCCTCTGATGTTTTGTGAGACTTAGTTGTCTTTTTTTTTCTCCTCTTAATAGTATTTTATTTTTTCCAATTACATGTAAAGATAGTTTTCAATATTTACTTTCATAAGATTTTGAGTTCCAAATTTTTTTCTTCCTCCCTCCTTCCTCTTCCCCCTCCCTAAGACAGCAAGTAATCTGTTATAGGTTATACATGTAGAATCATATTGAACATATTTCCACATTAGTCATGTTGTGAAAGAAGCATCAGAACAAAAGGGAGAAAACCACGAGAAAGAAAAAACAAAAAAAGTGAAAATGGTCTGCTTGGCTCTGCCTGTAGACTCCATGGTTCTTTCTCTGGATGTGGACAGCATTTTCCATCATGGAGACTTGGTTGTCTTCTATGTGAGTGCAAGACCTGTCTTGTAGGCAGCGAGCTGGACCTCATCCATTCATTTATTCATTCACCAAAGAGGTTCTGCAGGGACGCAAAGATAAATGGGACCCAGGCCCTGTTTTCCAGGGTCATCTAATGTAATCTAGTGGAAGAAAAGATGTGTATGAATAACCGGACTGCCAAGGAGATAAAGGATAATAAATAAGCATTTATTAAGTGCCTGTTATGTGCCAGGCACTATGCTAACCGCTTCACATATGAGAGAGGTCAGGGCAAAATACCGTGAGATATTTGGGGAAAGGAACGTTGCTTTCATTTCCTCTTCCTTGGGGGAAGGATTGAAGTGGAGGAAAGAAGGGATTTGAGCAACTGGAGATAGTAGGCATGAGCCGAATGCCTGGAGGAGGGGAGAGGGGCAGGACAGAGCGGGGTGGTTATGGAGTAGGAGTACTTTAATTTAGCTAGAATGTGAAGTGCATGGAGGCAGAGGGAGGGGGTGTGTGTGTGTGTGTGTGTGTGTGTGTGTGTGTGTGTGGGAGCTTGAAGAGGAAGCAATGATAGGGGTCCCTAATGGATGGGATTTGTGGGAGGAGTCAAAGACGACCCCAAGGTGCATGGTGGATGCACAGTGCTACCAACACAAGCTCGTTGATGCTTTGTGGGGTTTCTTATACTGCTGTCTGCCCCTCGTTTATCCTTAGGATTTGGATAGCCTCAAGGCTATTTTCTGCCCACCTTCAAATCTCGTCTTGGTCAGCTTGTTGAAAATCGGAGAGCAGCTTTTGACCGAGACGTGTCAGTGGAGCACCATGGACCAGTACAGCCTTGGGGACGATGGTGCCCTTCAGTCAGAGATGCATCTTCCTGGATTTTCAGAGAGCCAGGGGCTGAACTGCAGTGACACCCTCAATCGAGATCTGTGCCCCAACACAAGAGACCTGCTCTACGCTGGCCTGAGCAGCTTAGACCTGGACCCTGGCCTCCCGACGCCAGATATGGCCAGCGAGGCTCTGGAGGACAATCTCGACGCCCTCTCTTTGTATTCAGGGAAGGAGGGAGACTCGGCAAAGCTATTGGAGGAGTATGCTGATTCGGACTCGCAGCCTTCCTTGCAGGGTGAGCCTCAGGGAGACCGAGGGGGCCACTGGTCCTGTGAAAGTGCCACGGGTGGGGTGGGGGCAGGAGTGTCCAGTTACCGCGGGGGGTGAAAAATCCTACCCATTTCCTCAGAGACTGAAAAGTCATGTTTATGCAGTCTGTTGTTCATGCCAAAGTTCTTCTGTTTTGCACCAGCGTTGAAAGGGAAGAACTGAGGACATTTTAAAATCATGTAGTTTAAATAATAATCTGATTCACCCGTCAGCTGCTGCCAAAGAATAAAACCATCATTTGATCAAACCCTCTTAATGGACCCACTTTGGAAATCTGACAGAAAATGTGAATGCATTGAGCTTAAAAAAATACTTCATCTGGTTTTATCAGAAGAGGTTGCTTCTAAATACCCTCAGTTTGAAAAAAATTGTCAATGCTAATTACAACTGGTGTTTCTAGAAAAGTTCAGATGCCTTGCTTGAATAGAGAACGTTCACAGGGTTTATTCATTGCCCACCGTGACACAGAGGACCCTGAATCTAGAGCTATAAAGGCCCTTAGAAATCATGGAATAGAATCCATTCATTTTATAGCTGGGGAAACTGAGGCCTGTGGGAAGAAGGTGACTAGCCTGCTTGTAATTTCCCTGTCAGCAATTAGGCTTTTACAAAAAAGAGAAAAACATTTTTATCATAGGAGAAAGTTGAAGGAAACTGGGTTCAAAGAGGACCAGACAGCATTTGGGGGGTCTTATCTGCCTCCCTTTGTCTAGCTGGTGTTCCATAGTCAAAAAATTTGAAACACCTTCCAGAAATCTACTAAGCTGAGCCAGTGGCCTGGCGCGCTCATCACCCCTTCCTTAGGTGTCTTCAACAGAATTGAATCTGGCTGGAGTAGAGGGAGGGAGGGAGGGAGGTGGGGGGGAAGAGAAGGAGAGAGAGAGAGAGAGGAGGGGGAGAGAGATTGAGCACGTCTTTGGGGACCAGGCTGTCGTAAGGCATCTTGGGTCGACGGGTACACAGTCACACGGCTGTATGGGACTCCAAAACTAAGACAGGGGGCAGCCCTTGGCCTCGTGCAGGTCTGGCCTGGCCAAACGCAGTCCCTCTGCTAACTGTCCCTCACATTGGGTTGAAGAACTGGAAAAGCTGTTCAGGATGAGCCTTGGTCACAGAGATCCCTTTCAGAGCGTGGCCTTTGAGTCCCTCGTTTTGCAGATGGGGAGACTGAGGCTCTCCCCAAGGCAGAGTTTGGGCCCAGCTCTGGTTCCCCTCCCTTCCCACCCCCGTGTTTGTAACTTGCTCCTCTCCCTCCGTCTAGACCTGGGACTGGGCGTCCTTAAGGCATCTAAAGAAGCAGATGAAGGAGGCAGGGCCAGCTCGGGCAGTGCCAGGAAAGGAAAGCGGCAGCACAGCTCCCCCCAGAACCCGTTCCTGGATTGCAGCCTCTGTGGAAAGGTGTTCAGCAGTGCCAGCTCCCTTAGCAAACACTACCTGACGCACAGCCAGGAGAGGAAGCACGTCTGCAAGATCTGCAGCAAGGCGTTTAAGCGCCAGGACCACCTGTATGTGGGAGTCTGGCAAGGCCCAGCGCCCTTTGGAGGGATGGTGGGTGGCAGCAGGGGAGGGCGGCGGCTTCCTCCAGGGTCTGCCCCTTTTATCCTCCTCCTCAGGAGCCAGTTTGATGCTGTCCAAGGCAATGGCATCTCTGGGGCCTTTTGGCCTACATCGCTTGTGTAGCTGTGGCCCAGGCTCGCCAACAGGGCCTGGGCGGTCTAAACAGCATACGTATTGCCTTTGAACAGAGCCTCTCTCACTTCACCTGGCTCCTGAGGCCAGAAGTTCAGTTCAGCAAGCATGTAGGAAATGTCTCCTGTTAGTGAGCCCTCTGCTAGGCCCAGGGGATACTCAGTCAGTCAGTCAGTCAGCAAATGCTTATTAAGCATTTGCTATATGCCATGTAGTCTAGAGTCCCCAGAGGGGAGGTAGGGTACACCAATAACCACTACAAGAGAGTGAAATACAGTAAAAAGAGAGGTCTGAATAAAATGCCACGAGAAATTAGGCGGGGGGATTGCCTGGGGTACCAGAAGTACCAGTGATGTTAGCCCTGCGGGAGAGACTGGGTCTGCTTACCTGCGCCAGGGAAGACCCACAACATTCTGAGGCTTCCATGTTGAAGTCAGGAAGAGACTGTCAGGTCCTGGCGGCTGTGCCTCGCCACTGAGTCAGAAGAAGGGCTTCTTCTTCCCATTGGGTCTGGTTAATGAGCTTTCCAAAGGGAATCTTTCCCACGGATCTCAGAAACGTTCCACGTGGTGGTGCCCTGTCTTCCCAGCCCAGGGAAGCCCTTAAGGCAGGCAGAGTGTGGCAGGGGACTGATGATGGCTTCATCCCCAGGCTCTGCTTCCTGTCCTTTCCCCGGGGCTCCGATAGCCATGTATTCGTTCTACTCCTCAGGCATTCCAGAGTCCAGGGCCCGGGTCTGCCACGTCTTCACCGGGAGTACAGGCAGGCTTCTCTTACACACTTGATGTGTTACGGAGGACTTGTGTCCACGTGGCTGTTTTGCGTCCTCCCGGTGGGACTGTTCAGAAGAGTCCTTAGTAAAGCTCAGTGCCCGGTTCTGTGCCGGGTCAGTCGGGGTCAGGTAGCTCGTCTGCCTCTGGTGGGGCTCAGAAGTGGCTCGCTGCGCAGTGAAGTTTGCTGACGTTTCAGATTGGGACAGCTATCCCTTTCCCTCGGGGTACAGAATTAATGTTGTCCCAGCTGTCTCACTGATTCTCCTTTTTGTGTTCTGGCTCCAGGACTGGACACATGCTGACCCATCAGAAAACCAAACCCTTTGTGTGCATTGAGCAGGGCTGCAACAAGAGCTACTGTGATTATCGTTCCCTGCGCCGCCACTACGAGGTGCAGCATGGCCTGTGTATCCTGAAGGAGGCCCCTCCAGAAGAGGAAGCCTGTGGGGATTCACCTCATGCTCACGAGGCAGCCGGCCAGGCTGGGCCCAGCAGCCTCCGAACCCTGGTGCCCTCCGAGGCCCGCTCCCCCAGCTCCCTGCTGCCCAACCGAGACCTCCTTCGGTGCATCGTGAGCAGCATTGTCCACCAGAAGCTCCCCTCACCTGGCCTGGCTGCTGCGGGGGCACCCGACGTTGATGGGAGGGGCTCACTGTGCCCTTGTCCGCCCAGCGCGGGCTCTGTCTCCTGTACTCCTGCCGATGCCATGGCACCTACAGGAGCCCTGGGCATCGAGCCTCCCGAGGAGCCTCGGCCCCCAAGAAAGGATGCGGCCCCCTCTGACATGTTCACAGTTATCCATTCAGGGAATCTGGCAGCCATGGCCCCCGGGGGAGAGAACGGAGCCTCTGACCCAGCTGATTCGGAACTGCCTTTTCTCCCACTCCCATCTGCTGGACCAGAAAGTTGGTCCGATGGGGGGACCTTGCCTTGCTTGCCTCTCTTCCGAGGCCAGGCGGTCTCAGCGAGCTCCCAGCCATCTAGTCACAACTTTCAGTGGGTCAGGAACCTGCCCGGCTGTCCCACGAGCAAAGGGAACAGTGTCTATTTTGTCCACAAGCCAGCTCCGGTCCCTGCCCGGGATGGCTCTGAGCCCAGGCCTGGGCCTGTGTCCCCGCTGCTGGACCCATTAGCTGCCCCAGTAGGCGCTGGACCAGAGGACGTGCTCTCTTTCCCTCCCATGCTTCTAAAGGCACCGGGGGACACCCTGAGTGATGCCAGGTTTGCTGGTGGTGAGGACAGCTCCTGGCCTGCCCAGAGGAACAAGTGTGACTGTGAGCCCTTCCCTTGGCAGAACCCTGGGGAGCTGGGCCTCCAGGATGTGCAGAAACCGAGTGGGCTCCCCCCTGAGAGCACCTCGCTCTTCAGGCAGCTCTTTCTCAAGTCCCAGGAGTCCCTGGTGAGCCACGAGCAGATGCAGGTGTTTCAAATGATCACCAAATCCCAGCAGATGTTCTCCAACACCCAGGTAGCAGCAGCTCCCTCTCAGCTCCCACTCCCAGAGACCAAGCAGGCTTTGCTGAAACCACTGCAGGGCGTGTGGCAGCAGCCTCTGGGCCCAGGGGCTGACTTCCATGCTCTCCCGGGGAACCCGGAGCAGGAGGGGTCGCCGGCCCACAGGAGAAAGACCCAGGCCCTGTTTCCAAGAGAGTCTTCACCTAGAAGCACAAGGCGGGACCCCAAGGGAGGGCCAAAAGTGGCCCCTGCATTGCCTTCCCTTGGGTCATCCCTGGACCCTTGTGGGAATCCAGATGCTTCTATGACCAAGCAGTGGCGGTCAGCAAAAGGGAGCGTAGGTCTGGGGGATGTTTTTTCCCCAGCACGTCCTCGACTGTCTCCATCGGGGATGGAAGAGCCAGCCGGAGGCCAGTTCCATTCAAAGCTGTCTCAGACAGAGAATGGTGCCCCCTCGGCCACCAAAGGTGACAAGAGTCAGGCCGGTGCCAGAGAAATGGGCTATCGACTCTTCTCTGGCAGCACCAGAGCCCAGCGATTCTCCGGCTTCCGCAAGGACAAAGTGAAGATGGACATGTGCTGTGCGGCGTCTCCGAGCCAGGTGGCCATGGCTTCCTTTTCCTCGGCCGGCGCCTTGGCGGAGCCCTCGCGGGACGTGAAGTCCAAGCTGACCGTCTTCAATAGGATGCAGGTACTCGATTCTTGCCCTCCCGCCTCGGGCTCATGCTTGGGGTAGGGGGCGCATTTCTTCCAGAGACGTAGGGCTTTCTAAGCCGTGATGGAGAGTTCTCCAGCATCTCCCTGCCCTTTCTTCTGTCCTCCTTTTTCTTTTTGGCTCTTCCTGCGGACATTAGACTTTATTAACAGTTTCATCATCATCCTCACTTCTATAGTGCTTCAGGGTTTATAGAGAGCTCTGGGAGCTTTAGGGAACTGAGGCTCAGTACACATTTATCAAGGGCCTACTGTGTGCCTATACTGTGCTAAGTGGGAGGGTTACAGAGAGAGGCCAAAGACAGCCTCTGTCCTCCGGGAGCTCGCCATCTTCTGGGGGCAGGACCACGTGCAGAGCAGCATGGACACGGGACCAATGGGAAATGACTAAGCCAGGGAAGGCTTCCTGTAGGAGATGGGATTTAAAGGGAGCCAGCCGTTAAGGCAGACATTTAGTTAGTGTCAGAACTAGGCTGCTGATTTCACTCTGCTTCCCCCATGTTATAACGCCTTTAAAAAGCAAGATCAAAGGTAGGAAAAAAAAATGGAGGCACTCTTTGTTCTTTGTTCAAACCCAGTGGTGAGATGGAGAGAGAAAATTGCATCTTTGCATGCAAGTCCTAGCCCCTCGGGTCATTCCATTTGTTTTGTTTTTGTTTTTGTATTTTTTGCTAGGCAGTGGGGTCATACAGCTAGTAAGTAAGGCCTGGTGCTCTAAACTCTGTGCCACCTAGCTGCCCCGGGTCATTCCATTTCTGAGTCTCAGTTTTTTAATCAGGCAAATGGGGATAATAATGTTTTCTCCCCCTACCTCACAGGATTGTTGAGGAAAGTACTTTAGTACAAACTATAAACCACTCTTGAAATGGGTATTGTATTATTCAATAATAACTAACCTTCCTCCCCATCATTCTTGTCTCCTCTTGAAATGACCATGGGCCTTCTCTGGCTGTGAGCCTTTCCCTGTTTCTGACACACTCATTGAGATGTCTTCTCTAATCTGCAGGGCGGGAATATCTACAGGCTGCCCCACCCCACGAGGGAAGAGAGCCTGGTGACTGGCTGGTAAGCCTGAAGCCCTGTCTGCTCCCCAGTGTAGAAGCGCCTTCAGCAGGGCCTTGTGATCTATGAGTGTTTCCTTGGGTTGGGGAGGGGGCGGGCCTTGTGGGCCAAGAAGTGGACCTGGAAGTCAGTCCAGTTCAGCAGATGTTTGGGAATTGTGTTCTGTGTGCTGAAACTACCAGGAGCTTCCATCCTCCTGGAGGGACCCAGTGGGTCGAAGGAAATTCACCATGTCTCCGAAATTGTACAAAGAGAGAGGGAGAGAGAGCTAACAAAGGGGCGTGGGGGTGTCAGGTTCTAAGCTCCCCCTTTGGGTCATCTCCGGAGCTTGCTGCCTGAGCAGACTTTGAAGGTCATGGCCGCAGGGGACTCCTTGGTGATTTCTGCCCTTAGTAACCAGCTCAATGGTGTTTCTCCGGACTGGACGGAACCCAGAAGCACTTACGTCTGCAAGAACTGCAGCCAGATGTTTTATACCGAGAAGGGGCTGAGCAGCCACATGTGTTTTCACAGTGACCAGTGGCCGTCACCAAGAGGGAGGCAGGAGCAGCAGGTGAGGGGGAAGTGGGGCCTTGGTGGTTTCCCTGCCAATGAGGCTTCTTACTAGGCATGGGGCAGCTGCAGGGCTGGCCCCAAACACTTTGGGCTAAAGAAAGATCCGGGGAGGAGGGGTGTAATTGACCTCAGAGGATCTGAAATTTTGGCAGATGACACAGTTTGAGTGGGGTGGGAGAGGCTGATAGTGGTGATGGGGCTCCTAGAACCAGGGCTTGGGGGCTTTTGGCCCCAGCTCTGTAGCACGAACCCTGTCCCTGCGCTGGGCCCAAGTCTTGGGCCCATGTGCTACCTTAGAAAACAGGGGTCATCCCTTGGTTGGTTAGGACTTTCATGAATATGCATATTCTTTCTTTTCTTGCCATGCCTGCTGTATAAAGAGACATCTTATTTCTTGGGTTTAGTTGTATAGCGCGGAATACTGCAAACCCCAGAGATTGGTCCTAAGGCCGGAGGGTGATGGACAAAGTCCACCAGGAGCCAAGAGGCCTTTGGAAGACCTCGCTGCAGCCCCTTTGGTGACCCCTGTGTCTGTCCCTGGGCCAGCTGGGAGCCGACCTCTGGGGAGCCTGACTAAGGTGGGTGCACCCACTTCAGACATTTCTGATGGGCCGCTCCCGACGTCTGGAAGGTAGCAGCACCCTTGGAGGGTGGGCTTGCTGTGTCTTCGTCTCCCTGCAGTAATGTCCTCGGATTGGGGGACTTAGCATTCTCCTTTCATCAGAAGGGAGAGGAAAACTTGTCACTCACTTGTGACTCACTTGTCACTCATGTGTCACTTGAGAGTGGGTGCAGAATGCTTTCCTGGCTGCCCGGGGCAGTCCTGGGAGGGGAGGAAGCAGGTCCTGAACAGTTAGTAATTGTAAGCTCCTTAACTGGAGCCAGGTTCCTGTTGCCTGAGTGTAGTTCTTAGGTGAGGAGTGGGATTTTCTAGGGCCCCCTCCCCCCTCGGGGCGCTCTGGAGTGTGGCCTCTCCTGGCTTTTAGTAGTGTAGTGATCTTGGGACAGGTGGGCATAGAGGAATGATCAAAGATTTGTAATCGCAGCTCTGACACTCACAGGTTCTGTGACCTGGGGCACTGTATTCACCCCTCTTAAACCTCAGTTTTCTTATCTGCAAAATGGATATTTCAACCTCAAATGCTATGGAATTATGAGTTGCTGTTAACTGCAGGTGACCATTTGAGGCTCTCAATGTTTTCATTCCCTAGGGACACGAGAGGGCTGGCCGAGAAGAGAGAGACACTAAGGAAACCAGCCAACACAGAAAAAGAAAAAAACGCCCCCAGCCCAAGACGCTGTTCATCCCTCCTCCACCTTCGGTTTTTGGAGAGATCCAGCCCGGCCCTGGAGGCTGCTATCAGAGCTGTCTGCGGTCCCCAGTGTTCCTAGTCGACTATCTCCTGAAGGGTTTATTGCAGTGTTCTCCATATACACCACCCCCAATGCTCAGCCCGATCCGGGAAGGGTCAGGATTGTATTTCAACACTCTCTTCTCCACATCCACTCATTCTGATCCTGATAGGCTCTATGGGACTGTGCTGGGTGAGTGAGAAGGACCTCCTGGCACCATGACTGATGAGCAAGGGGAAGCAGAGCTCCCCTTGTGGGCCAGACTCCCCTAGCCCTGCCTTGGGGTCTGCAGCACCTAGTCTGGGCTCACTAGAGGCCTGTCTCAGTGGGTGGGGGCCAGTGAGGCAGACAGGTCCTATCCACTCATGGTCCATCTCGCTGGTAGAGCTGAAGCCTGACAAAGCTGCGGGTGGCCTTGGAACACAGAGTGTTTGTGTCAGAAGGGACCTGAGGACCTGGAACATCAGCTCTGTAGAATGTGTAATGTTAGAGCCGGGAAAGGGGTCTTCGAGGTGATGCTGCCCAGTCTCTCTTTTATAAAAGAGGAAATGAAGTTTCCTTTGAGCTTAGACAGGGTCAGAAGTGTTACCCAAGGACAGGGAAGGAGCATAGGGATCCCTTGGCTTCCCTGCGTAACGTCTTTGGTCCTGTGTTTTCTAGACCGAGTGGATGGCTCTTTTGGAATTGCTGTGGTCAAAGACGACACCAAGATCAGCATTGAGCCGTGAGTGAGAATGAAAGACAGTAGGGGATGGACACTTGAGAAAGCCTAGGTGTAGAGAGCCTTCTCCCCATCCTTGGCTGTGTTGTCCAAGAGGGATTCTGGGAGAAGGCCTAGCCCAGGGAGCTTGGGGGACCGTGCCCAGGCCATCACTCCTCACCCCGGAGAGTGCCTGGCAGTCAGTACCAGGTGACCTCGGGCTGGCTGGGGCTGAGGTGAAGAGGGCACTGCCCAGCGGGTCAGTCAGCCAGTCGCAAGCATTTATAGCACTTGGTCTCAGGTGTCAGGTACTGCGCTGGGTGCTGCTGGAGGTGCAGACAGTGAGGATGTACAAAATAAGTAAATGTGGACTAGTGATAAAAAAGGAGAGATACAGCCATAGTTGGGAAGTCTTTATGTAGAAGCTGGTGCCTTGAGCTGCTGCTCAAAGAAAGAGGGGGATTGCATAGAGTGGAGGTGATGGAGGAAGGCGTGCACTCTAGGCGTCAGGGACAGGCAGGAGAGAGGTGTGGACGTGGTGGGCCAGGTGTGGGGAGCAGGGGCAAGGTCAGCTAGCAGGATTGCAGAGGGGTGAGGGGAGCTGGGAGGGAGGTTTGAAAGCTTTTGTGTGAGCAGGAGGGAACCACTGGAATGAATAGGAGGGGAGTGGTGGGGTCAGATCCTGGGGGACATGCCAGTCCCCTCACCCTCTCACCCCCTTGTCAATGTTGATGAGCCTGTTGAGGTGGGTGAGGACAGATTGGAGGGTCAGGTCTGCCACCGAGGCACATACCGAGATAAGTAAGAGACTGTTCCCATTGAGCTTGTGGTTACAGGATAGAGTGTTACTGGGGTATAAACAACACAAGACAGGATGTGATAAGTGCCATCAAAATGGTGTCACCCCAAGAACGATGGCCGTGCAGAGGAAGGGTTCTGCATGGACAGATGAGGGACCAGGGGAGACAGAGCAAAGCCTCAGAGACAGGAGAGTGGGACGTATTTAGGAATTAGGAATTCTGGAATTAGTATGGCCGCCTTGCCTACCTCTACATGGGCATGGTACCCAGAGGGATCTTTGGCCAGAGTCCGGGGGCCAGGGATTCTCTTATCTCTGTGTCGTTTCCTTCCCGTTCCTTGAAGGCGCTCCCATTTGGCTTGGGTGTGGGGGCTGCATACAGGGAAGCAGGGGAGGTGAGGGCAGCAAGGTCAGTTGGAGCCGTATTAGGGAGGGCATGAGCTGTGGGCTGGGGAGCGTAGACGTGACTCAGGAGACCGTGGGCGCTGGGGGTGGGGCTCACGGAATGCTTTTGACAATGGAGTGACACAGTTAGAGGTGTGAAGGCAGACACACAAACATAGCAGGTCCGTATGTAGGCACCTCAGCTGCCTTCAACATCCAGAGGATCTGAGAGTGGAAAATGGGGGAGCCAGTCACTGTCAGCAGTGACGGAGCGCCTGGCCGTCTCATAGACATTGGTCTGGGTGGGGAGAATGTGGCCCGAGAGCCGCACACTCCTTCACTGACTGCTCTGCGGCTTCCAGTTATACCTGGGTTATTATATGCATCGTTCCCATTTCAGACACATCAATATAGGGAGCCGATTTCAGGCAGAGATCCCAAAGCCCAGAGAGAGTTCTCTGGCAGAAGGTGACCAGCATGGCGCTTCGCTGGTGTGGAAACCATGGGGAGATGTGATGACCAACCCGGACACGCAAGGCAGAGGTGGCCAAATTTGGGGTCTCCCTATTTCTTCTCCACCCCCACGAGCAAGGTCATTCCATACTTTTCCCCTTGGCCAAAGAGCAGGGCCCAGTGGCCATTTAAATGTTTAGCTAACTAGGAGCCCACTTTGGAATCAGTGTGACCATCTTGCCCACCTCTCCATGGACATGGTACCCGGAGGGATCTTTGGCCAGAGTCCAGGGAGCAGGGATTCTCTCGTCTCTGTATTGTCTCCTTCCCATTCCTTAATGTGGGCTTCCTGGAGTTGGCCAAGGGAGGTGGCCAGGGACCTGCCTGGGACAAGTCAAGAGGGGCGCCGGTTTTCTTTGGTTCTGTTATCATGATCTTCTTTTGTTTTCTTGAATCCTCTCCTCCCGTTCTCTCATTATGACCATAGTGACTGAACTGTGTAACGTGGCCTGCTCCAGTGTGATGCCAGGAGGAGGGACCAATCTGGAACTCGCTCTCCACTGCCTGCATGAAGCCCAGGGTGATATCCGGGTAAGGGGCTGACCAGTGTGAGAGCAAGAGGAGAAAAGCCCTGGGAAAGGCAGGAAGGGGTCACATCCCGCCTCTCCTTCCCATGACACCCCCCCCACCCCCACCCAGCTTTGAGAAATTCATTCAGGTGGTACTTAGCCTCTCCCTTTTATCCCTGATTTCAGGGATCAGCCCCAAAGCACTCAAATGTAGGTTCATCTGGGCTTGGATTGGCCTAATTCTATGTGTCTCGTGACAATGATAGAAAATAAACCATGGCCTGGGGAATGCCAGGGCCCAGCCTCAGGGAAGTGCTCCTGTCTTCTGAGCTCACCTCCAATTACCAGCTGCTTGTTGGACATTTTCATCTGGATGTCCTGGGGAGATCTCAAGTCCACTGTGTCCAAAACAGAACTTCTTACCTCCCTACCCCTACCCTAAGGGCTCCCCTCTTCTTCACCATTGAGGGCCCCACTGTCCACCCAGTCATCCAGGGCTTCCCCGTCTCCCCTCTCTCTTACCCCACAGCCATTCAGTTGACAAGTCTTGTTTTTTACCTTCATAATGTAGCTCACATCCATTCCCTTCCCTCTTCTCCTATGGCTAGTCCACTGGTCCACCTCACCCCTGTCCCCTGGACTATTCCAGGAACTTCCTCACTGATTGGTTGCTCTGCCTCAATCCTCTCTCCTTTCCAGCCCATCCTTCACATACCTGTGCAAGTGTGACCCTGCCACTCCCTTGTGCCTCAGGGAGGCGGGACAGAGTCCTCTGTGGCATTTAAAGCCCTTTTACCCACTGGCTCTGGGCTCTGCTTCCAGGCCCTCTTCCTGGTTCAGCTACACTGGCCTACTCTGTCCCCCGGACATTGTGCCTCCGGCCTCTGCAGGGAGGCTCAGCTCATACCCTGCTCCCTGCATGGGCGGGCTTCCTCCTGAAACTACTTTGTCCTTGTGTTTATAGTAAAAATACACACGGTTTCCCTCCTCCCTCCCTAGCCTAAGTGCACGTTGAATGATGTGTCCTCCTAGGATAACAGACAGTAAGCACCTGCTGAGTGCCAGGGCTTGGGGTCCTAGGGGTGACAGCTGAACTTAATGGAGGTGTGGTTTCACCCTCAAGGACCTCAGGGGGTGAGAGGGGGTCAGGGTATAAGGAGCTAAACCGCCCAATATCATGTGATTAGAGGCGTGTACAGTGAGGTGCTTGTCACCTGGAGGGGGGATCCTCATCAGGTGACCTCCTTGGTTCTAGGATGCTCTGGAGACCCTGTTACTCAGAGGACCCCAGAAGGCTCCGTCTCATCCTCTTGCTGATTATCGTTACACAGGCAGGTGGTGACGTCTCAGTGGGTCCGGGTCCCCGCCGGAGAGGAGGCGGCTCTGCCAGAGCTCTGCATGTCCTCTTGGGTCATGGCCGTCTCCACCCCATTCCATAAAGGGCTCCTTGTGGCTTCTGGGTCCCAGCACCCTCCCAGAGGCGTGCGTCCAGCTTGGGCCTCCTGGAGCTTGGTGCAGAGGGCGGGAGGGAGCGCTTCTTGGGGTGCGGGGAGACAGGAGACATGGGTTAGGACTCGGTTCCCTTGGGGCTTCTCAGGAATGGGGTCTCTCCTTGTTTGGTCTGTGTAGTAGGACGTGGTGCCCAAAAGGAAGCATCACACTCTTTTCCTGTGTTTGGCAGGTTCAGACATCTGGACTCCTGTGGAGAAGAGGCTGTTTAAGAAGGCTTTCTGTGCCCATAAGAAGGATTTTTATCTGATACACAAGATGGTAAGGGTTCATTCTCACAGGGCTTCATCTTGTGCCATTTTGGAGTCAGTTCTCCCCGCCTGGGGGATACCCTTGTTAAGCAGCGATACCGGCTGCTCAGTGGGAAGCTTGGTCAGTGAAACGAGGACCTTCAGATGGTGGGACAAGCGGCAGGGAACAGCCCTTTGGTCACTGCCTGACAATGACAATATCAACAGCAACAAATTTATGTAGAACCCATAAATAGCTCATTCTATCCTCCCAACAGCCCTGCCAGGTAGGTGCTGTTATTATCCACATTTTTGCAGTTGGGTAAACTGAGGCAGACGGGTGAAGTGATTTGCCTATGGTTATGCAGCAAGTAAGTGTCTGAGGCCAGGCCCAGCGCTCTGTTCCCTGCACTGCCAGCAGCCTGTCTTACCCATTCTCTTCATTCAGCCCTGAACAGCCAATAAGTAAATATTTAATAAGTGCATACTATGTGTCTGCCAGGCATTGTGCTAAACACTGGGCATACAAGAAGAGGCAGAAGACAGTCTCTGCCTTCGAGCTGCTTACAGTCCACTAGTGGAAACAGCAGGCCAGCTGTGTACGTGATAAATAGGAAATAATTCCCTGGGGGAAAGCACTGGGATTCCGAGGGGCTGAGAAACACGACAGCAGACAGAACTGGGAGTCTCTGAACTGCTGAGCAGTCACGTGACTCACCCCAGGTTGCCCTGGGAGGAGCGGAGCTGGGATTCGAATCTCAGTCTTGAGCGACGAGGCAGCTAGGCGGTGCCGTAGTGCAGGAGCGCCGGGCTTGGAGCCAGGCTGACTTACCCCCCTCGAGTTCAAATCCAGCCTCAGACACTTCCTAGAGTGTAATCCTGAGCAAGTCACTTCACCCTCTTTGCCCCAGTTTCCTCATTTGTAAAATGAGCTGGAGAAGAAAATGGCAAAACCACTCTGGTATCTCTGCCAAGAAAACCCAGATGGGCTCGCAGAGAGTCAGGCATGACTTGCGGCTTCCAATCCAGTGTTTGTTCTCCCATGCCACACTGGAAAGTTGATGGATTGACCTGTGGCTTCTAGGACTGAAAAGATCTGCAGGCTTGAAAGGTCCTAGTGGGGCAGGGGTCTAGAGTTTGGTTGGCAAAGTTGCAGTGGTCGTGGGGCCACTTAGGCATGTTCCGTGACCTGCTTCCATTTTCTTTTCCTAGATTCAGACAAAGAATGTGGCCCAGTGTGTTGAGTATTATTATATCCGGAAAAAAATGATCAAGTTTGACTGCGGCCGAGCCCCAGGGCTAGAAAAGAGGGTCAAGAGAGAGCAGGATGAGGTAGAAAGGACAGAAGAAAAGGTAGGACGCTCTGGGAAACCTGAGGGCTTGGGGCTCTGAGGCTGCCCACTGTCCCTGGATGGGGGGTCCATTCAGGAAACTAACCTGCTTCCTGCCTGTTCAACCCCACCCCTCTCCTCCCTCTTGCCGCCTTCGGGCCAGTTGCTCCCTGTCATTAGGGCTTCCTTTGGTAGGGGTCTTGTGTCTCTGGAGTCTGAGTTCCTCAGAGTGGCAGGATTCTAAGCATCTCCTCTCCTCAGGTGACCTGCAGCCCTCGAGACCGGCTCAGTCATCGGCCGACCCAAGAGCTGAAGATCAAAACCAAGAGTTATAAGAGAGAAGCCAGTGTCACCTCTAGCCCGACCATTGGCCCCAAGAGGACCCCCGACCCCCCGGGGAGTGCCGAGAGCCAGGGCGTGTTTCCGTGCCGAGAGTGTGAGAGGTATTTATGACCTGCGACCCCCAGAACCCCGCTTGCCGCCCTGCCCTCTGTTGCTTTGTCCTCTGAGGCTCTTGGACATGCATTCTCCCTACTCTCTCTTCAGGGTGTTCGATAAGATTAAGAGTCGAAATGCCCACATGAAGCGCCATCGCCTCCAGGAGCATGTGGAGCCTGTGGTCAGAATGAAGTGGCCCGTGAAGCCCTTTCGGAGTGAGCCACGAGATGAGGAAGATGAGGAGGAAGCTGGGGCATCACCACCCCTCCGGTGGTGATGGGAAGAAGGCCAGGATCCTGGGGGGGAGGGCCTGCCTGGCCAGGGCCTCCAACCCCCGCTGGGGGCTGTGGCGTCTCTCCCAGGCTTGGTCCAGTGGGGAGCATGCCCCCGACGTGGCCACAGCTTCTCTTTGCTGTCCCATTGGGTAGCCAGGTGTCTGATGGGAAAGCCACGTCCTATGTTGGGTAGTAATTAGGGATGGGGCAGGGAAAGCACAGTCATCACATGATTGTCATGGCTGTGTAGTGTGGGCTTCTGAGGCTCTGTACCATTCAGTTGGGTGACCTCTCCCCTTTTTTCAATCATATGTCTCGGGGGAATGGGGGGGGAGAAAAAGACAAAAAAGTTGGATCTGAGTAGCTCTTAAATCTTTGCCTAAGTTTTGGGGTTTGTTATTTTTGTTGGAAAAGGCCAAGATTTCAGAGAATCAGTGGGAAGATAGCTCTATAGCGATGACATGTGGGGGCCTCCCTCACACAGGGAGGAGCCTTCTGCATTGAGTCCAAGGTGCTGTGGTGACCTGTACATTGTTTGGTTTTTTTGTACGTGCCTACTGTATAGCTTATTAAATTGGGTTTTTGAATGGCTCTTGGCGTGCTGCTGGGACTTCTTAAAACAATAGAGGCCTTCCGACCTGCCATTTGTCATCCAGTTCAGTTGAGCATTTATGAAGCACCTACTGTGTGCCAGGCACTGTGCAGGACCTTGGAGGTGTAAGACAGAACCACACGTAGCCACTGTCCTAAGAAGCTTCAGTTCTACCAGGAAGGACCAGGATGAAGACGTTTACTCCCACGAGTAAAGGAGATCATTGTAGGAAAAACGGGGGGATATCAGTTGGGGCATCAGGAAAGGCTTCTGTCAGCAAGCAAGAGAGGGGAGGAAGAACAGGCACCAGGTACAGGTCAGTCAGTTAACATTTATTAAGCACCTGTCAGGTACTGTGTGCCAAGCCCTGGGCACACAAAAAGAGGCACACGACAGCCCCTGCCCTTGAGGAGCTCACAATCTAGCAGGGGAGACAACGTGCGAACAACATACAGAGTGAGCTAGATCCAGCAGTAAATAATTAGCAGAAGGCACTAGAAGGAAGAGGGCTTGGTGAAGGCTTCCCGTAGCAGATGGAGCTGGGAAGCGGGCGTGAGCAGGCCCCGGGGAGGGCCAGAGAGGAGGAGGCCAGGTCACTGGATGGAGGAGTGTGTGGCGGGAGGGAGGTGGAAGAGGGCTGGGGAGGTAGGCGGTTGCCAGGCTGTGGACGATTTTAAAGGCCAGGCAGTGTTTTGTATCTGCTTCTGGAGCCACTGGAGGGGGCCATGATGAGACCTGCACATTCAGTGGAATGGAGGATGGACCCCCACCCCAGCAGCTATTGGAGTAGTCCAGGTGTGAGTGAGGTGACCAGGGCCTGCACTGGGAGGGGAGGGGCGGCATATGAGAGAAATGGACGGTGTTGAGAGCTAGTGAGGAGTCCAGGATGGCTCCTGGGCTGTGAGCCTGAGGGCCTGGGAGGAGGGTGGTGCCCCTGATGGTACCAGCAGACAGGGAGGGCTAGGGGGAAGATCACGTGGAGTCCAAGTGTCTACTGAACGTCCAGTTTGAGCTCTAAAAGGCACCTGGGGTGTGAGACGAGGTCAGCAGAGAGGCTGGGGAGGGAAAGGTAGATTTGAGAGTTAGCAGCATTGTTGTTTAGCGTGTGCAACTTTTCATTGAACCCTCGGCAGAGATACCCAGAGGGGTTTGCCATTTCCTTCTCCAGCTTATTTTACAGATGAGGAAACTGAGGTAAACAGGGTTAAATCACTTGCCCAGGGTCACACAGCCAGAATGTGTCTGAGGCCAGATTTGAATTCAGGTCCTCCCGACTCCAGGCTTAGTGCCCTATCCACTGTGCCACCCAGCTGCCCAGGTTATCAGCATAGAGATGGTGATTAAATCCATGGGAGGCGAGGAGATCACCAAGTGTGAAGTAGTGCTGAGGGAGAAGCTTCTAGAAGAGGGCCCAGGACAGTGCTGGGGGTCTCTGAGGGTCGGAGGGTGTGATCTGAACGACGATCCCAGCAAAGAAGCCGTCAGAGGGGCAGAACTGTGGCGGGGGAGGGGGGAAGTGTCTTGAAAACCTGGAGAAAAGAGCGTGATCAGCAGGGCCAAAGGCTGCAGAGGTCAAGGAGGATGAGGAAGGAGAGGCCACTGGATTTGGCAGGGAAGCGATCACTGGTGACCGGAGAGCGCAGTGTCAGTGGGACGATAAGGTCGTGAGCTGGACTGTCGGGGCCAAAGGGATGGAAGGATCGAGGGGGGATTCTTCCAGGATGGGAGAGACATGGGCATGTGTGCGGGTGGTGGGGAATAAACCAGTAGAGAGGAAGAGAGCGAAAACTAGAGGGGATGAAGTGGGGTCACTGGAACAGGCAGAGGGTCAGCCTTGGAAGGCCGCTTCATCACGTGAGAGCAGTGATGGGGCAGCCGCGGAGGAAGAGGGCGGCCACGGGAGCCTCGCCCTTCTCCGTAAAGCACGAGGCAAGCCTTGTGGGGACAGGGGGCTTCGGGCTCCCACCTTCAGCAGCCCGTGTGTGGGAGCAAGGGGGTTTAACTGGGAGGGGAAGGAGGGATGACCGGTGGTCGGGCAGTGGGAGCCTGGCGCGGGACGGAGGGGGCACCGACGGCTGGGTGGCCAGAGCGCGGCAGGCTCCCGATCTGTCACGTGAGCGAGGCTGGGGGCCCCATCAGAGTAGCCCCAAGCCTCGGGCAGGACGGAGGGGGGAGACCCCACGCCAACAAACCCACCGAGGAAGCCTCGGGGGTCCGGGTGGGACGGGGAGGACTTTGTTGAGGCCCAGCTCGGACCCCCTGCACCTTCCCTTGCGCGGCCGCAGAGCCCGGCGCTCCGGCCCTGGGACGTTCCCGCCAGCCCTCCGAGGCTCTGTTCGAGGGGTTCACGTGCGGTCAGTCCTTCGCGGCCGTTCTCGGCCTTGTGCGAGTGCGCACTCAGAAATCTGAGAGGCTGTTCGGCTCTCCGCATGCGCCCTGCGGCCCGCCCTGACCTAGGCTTTTCTCCTTTATTCCCCGGTTTGATCAACAGGGGGCGAAGACTTTGAATAAACAGGCCGAAGAGCCTGAACATGCGCCTTTGCATGGCGGGTCAGCGGTTGCGCATGCGCGTGTCGTTGTTTCTGCGGCCCACTTGGATATGTCATGACAGCGCCTGTCAAAGGCGCGTCCCATTCTGCTCACGCTTCCCTTTCCCCAGCGCACGCGCTCTGCGTGGAAGGTCCTTCCCACCCCTTTTCTTCTGGTAACCACAACATCCGGGGCAAGGGGGCGGGCGGGAGGTGGGGTATCGGGATTGGGAGGGGGTTAAAGGAAGCTGTCACCTGATGCCAGGCGTTGAGTCACGTGATGCAGGACCGGCAGGAGGCGGGTCCGGAGAGATGACGGCGTACAGCGATTGGTGGACAAGGGTCAGGCGGCGATACGAAACTGGAGGTGAAGAAGGGGGTGTGCGTTGAGGGGGCGGGGCCCACGATCTCGAGGGGCTGGTGATTGGCCGGTGCGGGTCACGTGCCCTCGCGTCTGCCGCCGTCCTCCATCGTCGCCCGTCGTCCTAGCCCTCATCTGTTGTGGCTTTCCGGCTCTACTCTGACTGTCCTGCTGAGGCCGGGCTGCCCCGGAGACTCGAGCCGCCTCCGCACCATGGACAACTCCCGCAAGCAGGCAGAGGCGCTGGCGCTGCTGGCCGAGGCAGAGCGCAAGGTCAAGAACTCGCAGTCCTTCTTCTCCGGCCTCTTCGGGTGAGAGCGGCCCGCCGGGGCGCTGGGGGGAGGGTGGGGTGGGCGGGGGGACCCGGGGGACGAGAGGGAGCCCCGGGCAGAGAGGGGCGGGGGGCATGAGGAGGGAACTCGGCCAGGGTGGGGGGACCTTGAGGACAAGGGAGGGGAAGGGGAGACCCTGGGAGGGCGACGAGGGGCTCGGGGAAGGAAGGGCCAGAGCTCAGCCAAGGGTCCTGAGGCCCAGCAGCCTGAGGGTGCCCTTCCCCGCCTGCTCGCTGGACCCATGAGAGGCCACTTACTAAGCGCTGTACCAGTGGAGAAGAGGCGGCTTGGAGGGCAGAGGGCACAGGATGAAGCTGGCTGACTGCTGCTGGAGAAAGGGACATATGGGGCTTCGTTTGTATCCCGATTACTAGCTGTGGAGCAGTAGGCGGCCATGTGACTTCTGTGGCCCTCCAGGTCCTCAGGTGCGGCCCTTTGACTGAATCCAAGTTTCACAGAACAAATCTCCTTAATAAAAGAATTTGTTCTGTAAAACTTGCACTCAGTTTAAAGGCCGTACCCAAGGAGCTAGACCACATGTGGCCTTCAGGCCGCAGGGTCCCCACCCTTGGTCTAGAAAGAGGCCTAGGGCAGCGGCTTGCCTAGGGGCCCAAAAAAGGGAGACTTGGAAGAAAGACTGAGGAAGCAGGGCTAGGAAGTATAAAAAGTTGTGTTAGGAAGGCCTGCAGTATTGGAAGACCCTGGAATGGGGGCACTAGGTCCAGAAGAAAGAGGTGTCCAGAAGGGAGGGGTTGTTGGGAAGAGAATATTCAGATACTTGGGTGTGGGAGAAGCTGAGAGCCTGGAACTGGAAGTGGAGGGAAGCTGGGAAGTGAGTGTTGACAGTTTGGCGTCTGGACCTGCCTGTTTACGGGGATATGGGGATTTATTTTCCCACTAATTTCCAAGAGAAAAAGTTAAAGTTTAACTTAAGGGGGGGGCCACCGTGGGACAATGCCCAGGAGGATTGCCTTGACGTTTTTCTTACGAGTGTTGGGCCCTTGTAGCCTGAGATGTGGTGCAAGATCTCAGTTCAGGTCTTGCCTGAATGCTTGCCCTGTGGTCAGTCCTGCTTGTGCCAGACTGGACGGGGGTGAGGGAGACACCGAGACCTCCTATCATGAGGACTTCAGATCACAGACACATAGGACTGATAGGGCAGATAGGACTGCCCCCCCCCCCCCAGGCTCCCCAAGCCCTGGGGCAGCATCCCACAAGTGGCCTGGATTCCAGGACCTCTCTCAGAGGCTTGGGCCTCCTGCAGCCACAGTTTTGCACTACATGACCCATAAGCAAGCTCTATTCTAGCTGCAAATTGTGATTTTGTGACGCAGTACTGGAACAATGAGAGAAACAAGATGAGTGTCAATTTACAAGGCCTCCCATTGCAATTTGGGACTGTTGTGATTGTTAGAAGGCACATCCTAGAGAAGATGAGGCTTGGCTGAGCGCCGAAACTTTGTGGGTCGGTGTTGTTTGGGCAGAGAGGGATAGGGCCCCGTAGATGGTTAGCAAATGGGTGAACAGAGGTGAAAATGAGACTAGCCTAGGTGCAGGGCTGGCTTGTGGTCCCATGGGATGTTAGGCCCAGGAGTTCAGTCTTTGTCAGCTAAGAAACGGCATCATTCAGAGCTCTTTCTTACCCATGTGGTAGGTTCTTCACGGAATCTGTTAGAAATACACTTGACACCAAAAATTTAGTATCAAGAAAGTTTATTACAGAGAAAGTCCAGAGGATTTAGACGTTTCTGGCCAGAAGTGGGCTTCACCCCACTTCAGGAGGGATGGGCCCTGAGTGCGAGGGCAAGCGTGCTTTTATGCAGTTAAATTTGGTGCGAAACCTCCCACGTCTGGATTGGCCCGTTCCTTCTAGGTTACATTTATTCTGGCATGCCCCCTGTTCCCGCCCTATTGTGCCGACAATTGTGCTGTTGCCCCCCCCCCCCGCCCCCCCCGGACGCTGGACGGAGAAGTTGCTATGCCTGAGGTTCACTAAGCATGCTCTTATCTTGATTTTGGGGTCTTCTTGGAACCATCAGCTTTGGGCTAAGTCCAGGCCCACCTGCAGTGTACCTGCTTCCTTGACTTGTTTTTAGAATTCTCTGCACCATTCTACCTGTGGAAACTTAAGCCGTCTAACTGTAACAGAATCTGATTTGGAAGGGGCCATGGAATCTAACCTGTACTTGAAAAGGAATCCCCTCCACAGCATCACCCACGTGTAGTCATCCAGGGGTGGAAAGTCCTGCTTTTTTGAGGCAGCCCTTTGGAACAGTTCTGGTTAAACCGCCTATGGAGGCGGTTTTCTCTATACCGAGCCTCTCTTCAGTTTCTGCTTATCGCTCCTCGTTCTTCCTCATGGGGCCAACCAAAACAAATCAGAGCCTTCTTCCTGATTCCTTCTGGAGGCTTTGTCTTAACCTGGCCTTGCCATGCTTTCAAGGAGGCCCCTTGATTGCACCTCTCCATCTCAAGGCCTCAGAGGTTTTGGCCTGGGTGGGAACGGAACACAGGCCCTGAAGACTCTCGGGCCCTTTGGGACGGAGGGGCTGGGGGGATGGCTGGAGGGAACTTTGCCTCCCGACTCTTGCCCTGGGAATGTTCTCTGCATTAGCTGCCTCTGAGCCCACCGATGTGCATTTGTGCAGATCCAGAGGCTCTCTTCAATGCAGAGTGCTTGCTTTCCTTTTTCTTTCTTCCGGGCTTCAGATGCAGTGAATGGGAATGTGACCCAAAGCGACCTTCAAGAGCCGTTTCTTTGTCACTTTCCCTGTGGTTCTTAGAGGGTGGTCAGCCTGAAGTTGTTTGATGGGGAGGGGCTGGGGCCCCGTCTTCCCTGAAGGCTTCTCCGCAGAGGGCCTGACTGGGTCTCTGTGCGCTCCCCCAGTCACCACCATGTGTCCCCACCACATGGTGCTTATTCTCAGGGGTTCCTCTTTCCCAGCCTCTCTTCACTGACCTTGACGTTGAGCGGGCCACAGAAAATTATGGGCTTCATCGAGTACGTTCAGTGTGGCGGCTGTTGGAATTGGACCCTATTGGACATGCTTTGGGGAAGCTGGCTAGTGAAAGGAGCCCTGTTTTGGTTGGGTTGGCATACGTTGGAGTTTCTTTAAACAAACCCAGCATTGCCTCCTTCCTGTAGCTGAACATTAGAAAAAGGTGGACATCTCCTTTAGCTTCCAAACTTCCTTTGGTGTCAAAACTTGAAGACTTAGGCCCCAAAATATATCTTCCTTGTACACAGAATTAATTCTCCTGCTGTATTTTTCCAGAAAAAGACTTGTATCTTCTCTGTCATTCATTTAGTTTATATTAGATACCTAATTCGTCACCTAAAAGGTGGCGTTTCTTGCCTGGCTCAGGGCAGTCAGCCTACATTTATAGTGGGAAATATTTCTGAGATGATGCAGGATTTCTGGTTATGCCAGCGGTCAAACTGATCACCAGGTTGTAGGAAGCAGGTTGAGCTTTATTGTCCTGGGCCTCATTTTCCTCTTCTTGCCTTGATATGAGGAGGTCAGAACGTGCAGGCCTGTACTCTACCCTTCCATCTCTACAGGGCCCTGTGATTGGCTGAATCAAGGAGATTTGACACAGCGTTATTTGCAAACATCTTTCCAGTTCAGCAACAGGCAACTGAGAAATTCAGGTCCTTCCTAGGAAATCTTTGAGAAGAGAGGGCGAGGCTGTCGTCTCGGATTATTTTGTGACTGTGGCTGTGTTAGTGGCCGCTCCTCCAGCCTTCTGCTGTGGTCTAGGCCTTAGTGAAGCTTCCCTGTCCTTCTCTGTGGGCGGGCCCAGCCCCGGCTCCTGCAGAAGCAGGCCGCCACCTCCGATGTGTGATGATGCTGATGTGTGGATAAGAATGGTCTCTCGTACAGAGAGCCCTGTTCAGGGAGGGGGTCCCCTGACCTGTGGCTCCAGCCTGTGGCTGACTTGGGCCAGGTCCTCTATAAAACGGGGTTGGGTTGTTGATGCTGCTGTCAGGCCCTAGGCCCCATCCTCTTGGACCCTCAGCCAGTCTTGGGTTCTAGCATACACTCCCTGAGGGCAGGTCTTACTTCTCATCTTGGTCCTTGTCTCCTCAGTGCATTGCAGATAGGAAGGGCTTAATTCATGTTTGATTCCTTGAATCCTGGTCACTGTGTCCTGGATGTGTTATAGCTTGGCAACATCCTTTTCTCAAATTGGACGTGATATTCTGGCTCTGGTCTGATCAGGTAGTGTTGAAGGGGCAGGGGAGGTATTAGCATTTATATAGCACCTACTGTGTGCCAGGCACTGTGCGGAGTCCCTTACACCTAAGATCTCATCTGCTCCTCACAACAGAACTGGGAGGTAGGTGCTGTTATGATCCTCATTTTATAGTCAATCAGTGTTTGTTAAGTGCCTCGTGTGTGAGGCACAGTGCTGAGGGCTGAGTGCAAGAGAGAGTTCCTGCCCTTGAGGAGCTCCCAGTCTGATGGGAGAAAGCTGAGGCAGCCAGCCCAGGCCAGAGCACAGTAGAAGGCACAGCCTCCCCTGTTTTGGCCACTGATTCTCGCTGGTGGGACTTCAGCTGGCTCGCGTCCCTTCCAAGCGTCTGTTGCTTCCCTGGCAGGCTTTCTCCTGGCAGAGCTGAACTCTTCCATCTGGCAGTCAGTAGCAGCTGGTGCCTGTGCCAGGGAGACCTGAGAAGACTCCCTTCCTGTTCGCCATAGAGACGCAGAGCATGTAATTATAGACACCCCAACACCGGGCTGGCCCAAATCAGTTTGCTCTATTCTGGTCTGTGAGCAGAGGGTTCAGGACCAGCCCTGGGAGCTGAGGTGCTCATAAGCATGAGGGAGGGGAGTGAGACAGCTGGCCAGCTGGCTGTCACGACTCTCCTGGGAGGGCCTCAGCGGCAGGGTTTTAGCTCATTTTTCCTTTTCGTCACTATTTCAAAAGCAAGTCCGCTGCCTGTGGAGGCCCTGGAATTGTAGGTGGGACATACGGGTTGGTCCAGCCTGTGCCCTCTGACCCCGGCCATCTGAGCTTCAATTTCCTGTTCTGTAACAGGAGAATCATTCTTACCTTGCCTACCTCAGTTCAGTTAGACAAATCACTGCCTTGGCAGGCGGAAGGATTTTATTGGGAAGCAGGTGCTTCAAGCTATTATTAGAACGGGCCCACCTTTGTGCTGGAGGCTACAGGGGAGACAGTTCTCACAAAGAGTCCCTATTGCTGAGGCGCTTCGCACAGGACCCATCACCACCATGTACCAGACCCTAGCAGGCAGTGAGGTGGCTGGGCAATAGTGAGAGGTTTGGAGTCCAAAGGCCAGGGGCCAACAGGGGCTCCGCCCGGCTGTGAGACCGTGGTCAGATGCCTTCGTGTCCCCGGGCAGCATCAGCCTCTGTCTCTCTCTCTGGAAGGGCTTGGATTCAGTGGCCCCCAAGGCCTTCCACCTCTCTAGAGAGCTATGTGTCAACGGGTTGCCTAGTTATGGCTGAGAGCAGAAAAAAGGCCCGGGAGCCAATGCTGGGGACACACTCTCTGTGAGACCCCTTGTTTTCCTGGGTCTCAGTTACCTGTGAGAAAAGTGGGTTGAGCGAGACCATCAGATTTAGGGCCGGAAGGACTTGGGAAATCATCTAAAGGAGGCCGAAGTGAGGAAAAGGGAAAGGCCCAAGGGGGCCTCTCCAGGTGATCCCCTTGGAGCACATGTTGGGAGGGCAGCAGGCATTGGGCAGAGGGCAATCACTGAGGGCCTGGCTGGGCCCATGGAATTGGGGGCATCCATGCTGTATCCCCTATGCCTCCTCCATTATGATAGTCTCAGCCCCAAGCTGAGCTACGGACAGCCTGAGATGGGGGAGCACAGGGCCGCAGGGGCCAGAGGAACCTGGTCTTTGCTCTGCTCATTTGGAATCATAAGGTTCCAGAATTGTAGGATCTTAGTGCCCGAAGGTCTACAGATGTAACCCAGCTCAGTGCCTTGACCTGACCTTTGATCTCTGCATGAAGAGATGATTCCCTGTGCCTTGACCCCCTTTGAATCTGAGCATGCTCACAACCTTCTGGGGACCCCTGGAGCTTACAGCTCATGGACTTACACGCAGGGGCAGGGCAGGGTGGGGGCTTACAGTAGTCCAGAAGTGGTGGAGGGCAGAACAGAGCCAGAGGGGGTGGCTGGGACTGCGAGGAAGTACAGGCCATTTAGCTTATCTCCCTTAATGGACAAGCAAGGCCCAGTTCTCCAGGTCCTCTTTGCACCACCCTGCCATGTGGTCCTTGCCTTGTTCTCCAAGAGGACCCAGGTGAAAGGGGGCAGGAGTTTTGGGAGAATTGGCTGGCAGCAGCCCCTCCCCCAGTTGTCTAGATTCAAATATGAGATTTAGTGGATTCTCTTAAAACGTAGTAGAAGCCTGTGGGACTTGCTTTTGAATGCAGATGCGTATTGTTTAACCTTGAAAGAAAGATTGTATGAAAATCTGATAATATCCATGTTCTTTTATTGGAAAAACCAAAACGGGAGAGGAGGCGAGCCTGGAGGAGGGAAGGGGCAGGGCCTGTGGCTGAGGCAGGAGTGGTGAATGATGACATCTATGTGGGGCCGGGCTGTGGCACCAGTTTTGTTATCTCCATTTCACAAATGAGGAAACTGATGGCGGGAAGTGCCTGGGCCAAGCTTGGACGGGTCCAGTGCTCTCTGCACTTTGCCACACTGCCTTTAGAAAAGACCTCTCTTGACACGAAGGAAGACGTAACCCCACAAAATAGCCCCGAGCCTGGGGGCAGCCGGAGCCAGGGGCTGGAGTCAGGAGCTGCTTTTCCACCGAGTCACCCAGTTGGGCTGCTCTGGGTCTTTCCTGCCCCTGAGGTCCCTGGAGTCTGTGAGTTCCTCTGGGGAGCTAGGCAGGTAGAACCTGAAGTTTGAACCTGTTTTCGACGTTAGCCTCGAGGTGATTGAAGGAGTTGAATCCTCAGCTCTGTTGTGTGGTTCCTTTTCCACTGAGGGCTTGAAGCAGCTGTCACCGAGAGGCAGCCACGTCTCACGGGGAAGGGATTCCTAATCTTCATCCCCACTTGTGCCAGGAAGAACTTGGTCCCGTGTCCTGGCCCCAAAACCATGTGGGCTGGCGGCCTTTCAGGACCCAGCAAGAGCCTTGTTCTAGGGGGAAGACAGGTGCTGCCCCAGCAGCCCTGGTGGGAGAACACGTTTTATTAGTCATCCAGCCAATATTGACTGAGCACTTACTGGGTCCTGGGCACTGTGCTTGGCATTCTGGGGCTGCAGAGCACTGGAGACAGGATTTCTGCCCCCAGGGAGCCAGCTCCCAGGCTAATTGGAGCAAGAGACCTTGCTGGGTTATCAGATATTCATTGAGCACCTGTTCTGTGCAGGTCTTGGGTGTTTGAGCTGACTCTGCTGCCCACCTGAGCCGTGTGACCTCAGGCACGAGCTCATCTGTAGCATTAGACAGTGCCCCATCCCAGGTGAGAGGGGCAGAGAAGGAGCGGAGCGGGAGTTCAGAGGGCATGGCTTGGCCCACACGGGGTTCCTTCTGAGCAGTCCGAAGAAGCAGGCTTTCCCCAGTGCAGTCACCAGGCACACATGAAGCGCCAGCCCTGCGTGAGACACTCTCTCGCCCCCTTCCTTCTCTAAGGCAGTACCCCTAGTGTTTGGTGACCAGGTTAATGGAGTGTGCGACAGGGGGGTGACTGCGCGTTGGAACCTGAAGCTGGTGTAGGGTCAGGAGAGGAGCGGAAGCCACCTGGAGTGGGGGCAGAGGGTGCAGCCGTGCCCCGGCCCCCCCCAAAACAACGCTCTTTCTACCTCTACAGCCAGTCTCACTCAGCAGACTCCTTAATGTGGATTGTTTTTTCTCCTCCCTCAGAGGCTCATCCAAAATCGAGGAGGCGTGCGAAATCTACTCAAGAGCCGCAAATATGTTCAAGATGGCCAAGAGCTGGAGTGGTTTGTATTCTCCTGTTTGCTGCTTTGAGGGTCGGGGCTTACCGTGGCCCTCTCCTGTCCTCCACCGTCCCCAGCGTTCTTCGGGCCCCTCAAGCATGGTGTCAGGATCTCAGAGCTGGAGGGGACCTTAGGGACAGAGAGACATCTAAGTCTCAGGAGGGGGACAGCATTGCCCCCCCCACCCTCTGGTGTCTGAGCTGGGACGAGAAGCCCAAAGTCCCTGTTCTTCAGAATGGGTTCTTTGATTTAGATGTCATCCTACAGAGGGTAGGGACAGAGAGGCGCCTTTAATCTGGAGACACTTATACTAGACTGTTGAAACATTTCAAGTTATTTTGAGAGAGTGGAGGCAGGAGAGGCGACTTTTAGATGTTAGGGTCTAGGACAGGGGTGGGAGAAAAACTTTACCCTCTAACTGTGCTTGGCATTTCCATCAGAGGCTCATCCCACCAGGTAGATTCTTACTTTCTTGGCGTCGGAGAGGCCTTGGGTCTAAGACGAGGGACGTCCTACCCTGTGATGATCTGTGGTCCTGGGCAGGCTCTTTCTGATGTAGTGTGTCCCATTCTGGGCTCTGCCCCCAGATCGGGGAGTGGGGGTGGGGGTGGAGAACAAAGAGGGGTGGGTGGAAAGTGTTCTCTGACTCTGCCATTCCAGCATCCCAATGAATGGGTTACCACAGACGTAATCCCTGCCTGGGGTGGGGGGTGCGGGGGGCATGCTTCCTTCAGACAGACTGTAGCCGTTGATCGGGGGTTCAGAATAAGGGGTTTTGTGGCGGAGGCTCAAGAGGCTTTTGGGTAACTGTCCAAGATGCTTTCTGAGAAGTTGGAGCCTTTGAGACTGTCTCTGGATTCTTCAGGAAGTGCAGGGACTTCAGTTCTAGCAGGTTGCTGACGTTCACCTACCGAAAAGCAGGGCTGGACAGTGTGAGTCTGGGTCGGGTGGTGAGAAGGAGTCGAATCCAGTTCAAGTCCCGCCTGGGCTTAGTGTCAGGCCTCTGACTCCTGTTCTTACTGAGCTTTGTTCTAGGACCAGGGTGGGCATCCTGAGAAAGTGGGAACTTGGTGCCCCCTAGAGTGAGGGGGCTGGCAGCCAGACCTCCCCTCAGCTCTCGCTGTGATGAGCTGGCAATACAGTGTGAGCTGACTGTGGTGGGGAGTGGGCTGGGGAGTGCCGCAGGGAATTCCAGCAGGGACGGTGTGCCATGACCCTGCCCTTTCAGAAAACTCACTCCACTCCGCCAGGCCCCGCCAGCCCTCAGCAGCTGCTCAATGCTCTTCTTTGGAGTGGACCCTTAGACAGAGGGTAGGGTCAGTGACTGGGGTGGCTCCCGGGCACCTTACCGCTCTAGGCCCCGCTCTGGCTTTGGCCCTTTGGGTATAGTGACTGGAGATGTCAGGGACTGGTCTGACCTCGGAGCTGGCAGCCCGGCCCTGGACCAAAGGCAGGGAGTCGTAAGGCGGCTGGCTCCCCTCGCCGTCCTCCTCTCTGAAGAGGCCGCAGTGGTCCCTCCGTTCCTTTCCAGGGTCCCGGGAGGGAGGCTGTGGCGCCTGGGGGTGGCGCGTGTGTGACGGCAGTGTCCTACACTTTGTTCCAGCTGCTGGGAATGCATTCTGCCAGGCGGCCCAACTGCACCTTCAGCTGCAGAGCAAGCATGACGCGGCCACCAGTTTTGTGGATGCGGGGAATGCCTTCAAGAAAGCAGACCCCCAAGGTGAGGGGCCCGAGAACACGGGGTGGGGCTGGCCGAGGCTGCAGTGCCAGCGCTGGTGGTCTGGGGCACCTGGGGGCGGTTTCTGCATCAGCATGGAGGCACCCCCCCCCACCCAAGTGTTCACTGTGCATTTGGACCCTGCCCCAAGCCCTTCCTCCCTCTCCACCCCGCCTCCCCCAGGCAGTTGGTCACTCCCCTCCCCGAGTCTGGGGAGCATCTGTGAGTGGGTGTTGGCACTGGAGGCTGGCTCTGCACCACAGAGAGGATCTGTGCCGTTTTCAGAACTGGTATGGGGACCAGACAACAGGAAAGGGGTTTCAAAGACCAGCTGGCTTATGAGAGGCCACCAGACACTGACCCAGGCCAGGCCCAGGCTGGGCACATCGGAGCCTCTGCCCAGCAAAGGGAACTTGAAATGAGAGAGGAGTGGGGGAAGGAAGGTGAAAGGCTGTGTGTCCCCTCCAGTATGCCACTGGTGGCATAGGATTGCAGATTTCAGGCTTTAGAGGTCACTGAGTCTAGTCCAGAGCTCTCATTTTACAGATCAGGAAACGGAGGCCCGCAGAGGCTAAGGGGTTTTTCCGTGTCCTAGAGTAGTGAGGAGCATGCGGGTGTCATGTTTCCGTGTCCCAGCCTCAGGCCAGAGCCCTGTGCTCTTCTGCCCTGGTCCCCAGGACGAGGAGGGTCTGGTCCCCAGCAGCATACGTGCATCCACCCGGCTGCTGGCAGGGTCCGTGTTTACAGAGGACGGCCTCCTCCTGGCTGGCAGTGCTCGTTAAAATGGAGAAGGGAGCTAATTATCCAGATAATTAGAACAACACAGGCAATTCTGAGTTCCTTGTGGTGATAGTGCTGTTTTAATTTGTTTTTTGTTGGGTTTTTTTTTTTTAACCTGACTCATCGGGTAAACAGTGCCATTCACGCTTGTCTTCATCACAGAAACAGGTCCTTCAGATTGCCTCAGCATCTTCTGAAGCCACAGGCCCTAAGGGCTGGGGGCCAGGCCAGCCGGCCCTGTCTGGGTGGGGTCGTTTGTGCAGCAGATGGGGGTTGGTGCTTGGCTCAGTCAGCCTGACCTGGGCAGACGGGCAGAGCCAAGCACTTTCTGAACCAACCCGAGCAGCTGTGCCGAGTGCTGCTTTGGGGCACTGCCCCCTCTGCCCTCCAGGCCAAGCCACGGGACCACGGGAGAGCAGAAAAGCCCCTTCATGGGCAGGGCAGGGGGGAGGTTTTCCAGAAGGATGGTTGGTCACGGTGGGGCGCTAGCTCAGGCCCGCCAGGTGAAGTGATGATGAGACAGTGGGTGTCTGGCAGCCTGTGCGCGTCCTGGATGTGCTTTGCCATCCCACTGCCCCGGGCCACAGAGACAGCTGCATCGCTCACCCAATCTGGGCAGAGGTCAGCAGTGTCAAAATGGGAGGGGGAGGGGGGTCAGGTAGTCAGTCAATCAGTAGACACTTATTGAACACCTACTGTGTGCCAGGCCCTGTGTATCCTGGGTCTCTGCTAACTTGGGTTTCTTCCAGGCTCAGTTGGGCTTCCCTGGAGCTTCCCCAGTGCTTCCGCAGGCTGGGATGAAACCTCCTGCTGAACAGGTCCACGGCAGGAGTGAGCCTCGTCACTCCCTGGGCTCCAAGCTGCCGTCACAGCTTCCGGCATTCACTCCCCATGGGGGCTCTGCTCTTGCCGACAAGCCGCTTCTCTTGGGGGGGCAGTGGCAGGAGCCGCTGTCCTGGTCTTTTCTTGCCGTCCTCTGAGGCCTCCTGCTCGCTTCTGTTCCCGGCGGGGCAATGGCCTTTGGTGTGAGTGAGAAAAAGAGGCACTGGGGGAGCCCTGATCACTGACACTGCCCTCCTTCCCGTCACACTAGAGTGCCTAACATGATGGCTCAGAGCCCAGGGGCTACTGCCTGTCTTCCCAGAACATAGTGAAACTTGTCAGCCCTACTGGCCTGGCCCCCTGACGGGGCAGCTGGCATGGAGGGGGAGGAGGGCCCCGGCCCCTGTCAGACGTTCCAGCTGAGAGCAGTGCCTGGCGTCTGTGCCAGCTGGGAGGATGCTAGCCTGCCTCATCCTCTAGCCCACCTGTCTGGGCCTCAGCCTTTCCCCCCTTTCTGTTCTCCTGTCTGTCTGCTTCTGTCTTCCCACCTCAACCATTCCAGCAGCCCCAGAGGCTGACACAGTTTGGTCAGGGTTCTTGAATTTTTTTTTTTTTAAACATTCATTTTTAAAAATGTGCAGTTCCCAATTCCCCCTCCGTCCCTCCAGCTCCTCTCCCCCCCATTGAGAAGGCAACCAGCATGATACCAGTTACACAGGTGAAGTCATGCAAAAGGTAATTCCATGTTGTTGTTCAGTTATGTCCAGCTCTGTGACCCCATTTGAGGTTTTCTTGGCAGAGACACTGGAGTGCCATGTTCTTCTCCAGCTCATTTTACAGAGGAGGAAACTGAGGCAGACATTGAAGAAACGCCCTGAAGTGACTTGCCCAGGGTCACACAGCTAGGAAGTATCTGAGGGTGGATTTGAACTTGGGAAGACGAGTCTTCCTGACTCCAGGCCCAGTGCTCAGTGGTGCCGCCTAGTGGCCCTTAATTGCCTATTAGCCATAGGAAAAAAATGAAAAAAGTCTCATATAGTCAGAAATTGCCCACCTTGTACTAGACACTACACTGGCAGGTGCTGATATGAGGTGGAAAAGAGAAGTGGTCTCTGCTGTCAAGGAACTGTGGGCAGCTAGGCGGTGCAGCAAATAGAGTGTCAGGAAGACCTGCGTTCGAATCTGGCCTATTAGCTTGTGACCCTGGACAAGTCGCTCAATTCTGCCTCAGTTTCCTCATCCATAAAATGAGCTGGCACACCCTGCCGGTATCCTTGTCAAGAAAACCCCAAATGGGGTCCCAGAAAGTCGGACACAATGGAAACGCCTGAACACCCAAGAAAGAAGTTGGCCTCGGTCCACATGCGGGGTCCCTCCCTTTTCTCTCTGGAGGTGGACATTGTTTTTCATCCTGGGTCCTTCGGGATTGTCCTGGGTCATTGTATTGATCAGAGTAGCGAGGTCTTCCACAGTTGAGCACTGTTGGCAATGTTGCTCTGTACGGTGTTTTCCTGGCTCTGCCCACTTCACTTTGCATCAGTTTGTGGCAGTCGTCCCAGGTTTTTCTGACCCTACCCACCTCGTCATTTCTTCCAGGACAGTAGTATTTCATTACATTCATATACCACAACTTGTTCAGCCATTCCCCAACTGATGGGCATCCTCTCAATTTCCAATTCGTGGCTACCACAAGAAGAGCTGCTACAAATATTTTTGTCCATGTGGGTCCTTTTCCCATTTGTATGATCTCTCTGGGATACAGCCCTAGAAGTGCTATTGCTGGGTCAAAGGGTATGCACATTATTATAGCCCTTTGGGCATAGCTCCAAATTGCCCTCCAGAATGGTTGGATCATTTCACAACTCCACCAACAATGCATTAGTGTCCCCACATCCCTTCCAGCAGATGTCATTGTCCTTTTCTGTTGTGTCAGCCAGGTCAGTAGCTGTGGGGTGGTGCCTCAGACTTGTTTTCTTTTGCATTTCTCTAATCATAGGATTTAGAGGATTTTCCCATGTGTCTGTTGACAGCTTGTCAGTGTTCTTTTCAGGGCCCCACCACCTCTGGGGGTCTTCCACCCCTCTCTTCTGTCTTGGCTCTCCTGCTCCTTGACTTCCCTCCGCCCAGGTCACATTCATTCCAGACCATCTTCTTCCGCTCACCTTCTTCTCTTTGTCTCTGGCCCTCCCACTCTCCGCTGCCCATCAGGGCCCACTTGCGTGCACTCCTTCCCGTCATTCCTTCACTGGGTCCTCCGGCCCATGCTGCCCAGACAGCCAGCTCTCGAGGTGCCCGCTTGGCTTAGTTCCAGCTCGGCACCTCTGGGATGTGTCTCTGTCCCTTTTCTGGGGTCCTCCTTGGGCAGAGGAGCTTCGCCTGGTGGGTGTCCGGGCCTCGCCGGCAGGTTCTCAGAGTCATGGCTTTTGTTTGGGAAATAGAACTGAAGGACATCACTGCAATTAAGTCATCGACTGGTGCAAATCAAGATGCCTTCGCCCTTGGTCCCATGGCCCCCGGGTGAAGCGCCCTTGTTCTTGGGGCCCTCCTCTTTGTAGTCATCTCTCCCTCCTTCAGTGTCTCTTCAGGCCTTGGCTGTCAGCTGCTTCCCTGCCCCATCTCTGCCCTGTACTTGACTGATTGGGCTCTAGACGGTTTCTCTTCAGCTTCTGAATCCCTCGCCCCACAGCCTGGCTGAAATGGGTGTAATCCCTGCCACTCGGGCCCTCCCCGTGTAGGCTTCTCGAAGCCGTTCCAGAGCTTCGCTTCTCTCCTCGAGCTTCCCAGACCTTCCCATCCCTCTTCCTCCTCCGCTGCTGAAAAGACGAAGGAAGCCCTCCCAGGAGCGCGTGGCCTTTCTGCTTGCCGTGGAGAACTAGCTACCCCCTGTTTCCCTGTAGATGCTCCTTCCCCAGACCTGGCCATCTGAGCTGTCAGCCTGTACCTGTCCTCCCCTGCAAAAGCTGTCTGGGCCTCCTTGACCATCTTGAGGTCCGGCTGCTGACTTGCCCCCTCCAAAGGGACCGACCAGGGGTCTCTCGGTCGCCTCATCAGATGCTCTTCCCCGGACACAGTTGTTCTCTCTGCTCGGGTCCTTACTCCCTCCTGTTGGCTCATTCTTGGTCCTCCTCCTTCCTCTGTGTCTGATGGCTTCTTTCCAGGATCCTAGGCTGGCTCATCACCCATATCTTGCCCCCGGTGGCCTCTCTTCACCGGTCATCTTTCTGTTGTCTTTATGGGTGACCTCCCAGGGCAGGCCAGCCCAGCCAGTCCAGTGAAGCAGCTGGGCCCCGTGATGGGGAGAGAGGAAGCAGGGCGGGCCAGGCAGTCAGACTGACACCTTTGGCCACCTTGACCACCATCTCCCCTCGGACCCTGAGCCCGAGAGCCCTGGGGGTGGCTGTGCTTCCTGCCCAGGGCCCAGACCCTTCTATCAGTGGAAATGACGTTCAGGAAGGGACAGCACCTTCTGCTTTGCCGCTGCCCCTAAGGACCATGGCACCTTTCCGGCGGGCTCCTGGCTGACCCTTCGCTGTGTTGTCTCCCCCCGTCGGGGTCGGGGCTCATAGACGGCAGGCTCTGCCTTATCTTTCTCTGTGTCCCTGGTGCTCAGCACAGGCTTGGTGCATGGGCAGCGCTTACTAAACACTCCGACCTTCAGCTCCGTGGGCTCAGTGTCAGCTCTCTGCAGATGACTCTGGCATTTGTACACCCAGCTCCCGTCTCTGCCCCGAGCTTCAGTACTGAGCCAGTGGTTTCCAGCTGGACATTTCAGACTGGATGTCCTGGAGCTCATCATCTTTTGTCCCAAAGCTACCCTCTTCAGACTGCAAGGCACTGCCACTCTTCCAGGCTCCCCGGCTGGTGACCTCCATGTCATCCTGGACCCTGGTCAGGGCCTGTCTCTCCACCTTGCCCACCACCGTGGGGTCTGCTTCGACACAGCTGCCTACCCCAGGACATCCACACAGCCACACTGAGAGGTTCTCTGGCTCCCTGCCCTTTGGCTTGTGAGGTCCTTCCAGACCTCACCCAGTCTGCCCTCACCCACCTCTCCCTGTGCCTGGTGTTCCCCCCCCCAGCCCGATTCTTCCTTCCCAGTCCAGGGCCTCCACTTCTTGTCTCAAGCCTTCCTTGATCCTCTTGACACCTCTGTCGATTCTGTTCTGTGTCTACCCAGAGAAGGCCTCGCTGACTGCCCACCCCAGCCCCGAGCCTGGCACTTCAGATTTCATGGGTAGAAGGATTTCTTCCCTAGGCCAGCCGGGAGCTCCCTGCCCAAGTAAGGAGGCTTGCTTGGCCAGTGAGTGAGGGCATCTTCCCTGCAGGCCACGGGCCGGGAGAGCTGGGAGCGCATTGAAAGGTGTAAGGACGCACCCAGGCTCACACAGCTGGGAGTCGAACCCAGGGCTTGCTGGCCGGCTCACTTCTCCTGGACTGCTGCCTCTCACAAAGTGGGCATTTATCATGGATGTCCATGGATATTTTAGGAACACTTCAGGACAGTATCTGATGGACAGCTGCGTTTGTGGAGGTCAGATGATGGTGGCACACCCCCCAGGGTGGCTCCTTGTGTCAGCTTCTCTCGGGCCTGGTCTGGTTGACTCATCATCAGCCTAGGAGAGGGTGTGAGGTTGAGGGTGTGCTCTGCTGCTGCTCCTGGGATTTCTCTCTGAGCCTCAGTTTTCTGATCTGTAAAACAGGTCGTAATGACAGAAAGGATTCCAGTAGTTGTCTGTCTCAGCCAGCACTTGAAGGAATGGTATCGATCGAGAGGCCCTGCGTCTCTGCAGGCCCTCCCAGTCAGCTCCGAGCTTGACCCAGGACTCGGGGTCTGAGGCCCACGCTGGGTCTCACAAGAAGACTTGTCCCCTTCACATGGAGGAGTGGTGATGGAGCTGGATGCCAGAGCCCGTCCAGGAGCCCAGCCTGTGGAATTATAAGGGGGGGACACCACAGTCCAGGAGAAGTGGGGCTGAAGGGGGTTTGCTTGTCTCTCCTGGAGCCTGAGTCACGCAGCGGCTGCTGTTCCCTGGGACAAGTGAGACATCAGTTCCTGCTGCCTCTGTTGAGCCTCCTGACCCAGATAAGAAAAAGAGCCTGAGTAATGAGGCAGGAAACTTTCTGGCACCGAGACCTCAGGAATTCTGAGAAGGGTGACCCCAGCAGCCCAGCTAGGCTTCCCCAAAGAGAGGGCTGCAGCTCGGGCTGAAGGGATTCCAGGAGGAGAGGCCGGTCACGCTGGGATGTTGTCCTCCAGACGCTAGGACAGAGCTGTACCCAGCACTGCCCGAGGGTAGGCCTTGGTGATGGGGAGTCCTGGCCGTGGGCACGGTGGGCCTTGGGAAGCAAAGCCCTCCCACTTGGGCAGCCCCTTGTCCCTCCTCCAGAGGGACCCAGGCAGGGCCCGCAGATCTGGAAGGAGCCTGATCCCCCCTTCATTTCATAGAGAAGAAAATGGAGGGGCCAAGAGGAGAGGAGCCTGGCCCCCAAGATCACAGCAGGTGACGATTCCAGCCCAGAGCTCGGGGCTCACATTCCCTCATCTCCTAAGGTGGGTCTCTGACAGCGGAGACCCAGGGTGGAGACGCCTTTACTCTCCCTCCTCCCCGTCCTGCATCGTGGCTCTGCTTCTTCCTGAGCCACACTCCACGTGCCCCCTTCTCTCCTCTGTTCTCCCACAACTAGATTCTGTCACCTGATTGTGGAGAGGCTTTGGCATTGAATTGGATTCTCCTGGAGGACAGGCACTCTCTTCTTGTTCACATTTGTCCCTTCCCCTGCACCTTAATTAAAGGTTTCTTGATTTGTTTGGAATGGCCCTGCTGTGGCCGAGCAGCTCGCCCTCCACCATCTGGGGCTGGGCAGAGGGGGAGGCTTGGCCAGCTGTGTGTGGAGGGGCTGGGGCAGCTCCCACGTCGGCTCGTCCCCAGCCCCAGGAAAACACAAAATGTGAGGCCACTGCCTCTGCCTTGGGTGTGAGGGAGGCACTGGCATGAGCTTGCAGGGAGGGCTCATCTATGATGGGAGGCAGATTACTACTTCTTTCTTATGCCTCATCTGTCTCATCTGTAAAATGGGAACAATATTGTATTTTCTGCTTTCCCAAGGCATTGTAAAAAAAAAAAAAGCACTATGTAAATGAGCTGTTGTTGTTGTCATGAATACTTAGGGCATCCTGGCACCCCCAGCTTCCTCCTCCACTCCTGTCTCCTTCCTGAGAGTTGGTGGTACATAGCTGTGTTAAAATTAAAATAAAACTATCTGCCTCAAGAACTCAAGTCTTTATGTGCTAGAAAATGAGAAAAGACTTCCCACTCACTCGTCTTTTTCTCTCCTCCAGAGAACTTGTCAAAAATAAATAAAAAAGTCCCAACAAAAATCCTGTCAGAGATAGTAGAATGAGGGGAGCCCGCTCCCTACCCCCAGATGCCGTCCGGGCCTCCCTGCTGCTGGGATGGTTTGGGAAGAGGCAGCTCAGGGATGGTGGGCTCGGATAGACGGCACTCTGAGACTCACTGAGGTGTGGCAGCTGGTCCAGGAGCTCAGCCTTGCTGGGGACTGACTGTTCCTAGGGCACCTGCCCAGGTGCAGGGTGGGGAAGGACAGAAGCTTTTCTCATCCTGCTGGTGCCTTCCTCCAGCCCCCCTGAAGCATCTCGGCAGGCAGTGGGGGGGGGGGGCAGCCCACAAAAATGCCTTCCATTCTCATCTCTCCCCCCACTCTTTCTCCCCAGAGGCTATTAACTGTTTGATGAGAGCAATTGAGATCTACACAGACATGGTAAGATCTGGGGGCCTCCTCTCCTCCCTCCCCTTCCTGCCCTGCCTGGCTAGATGCTCAGTGTATTGATGAATTTATCCAAAAAGGCTGTTGGGACGGGTAGGCCAGGAGCCACAGAAACCCCTGGGTTTGGGATCGGTTGAAGCTGTGCTTAAGTCAGGCCAGAGGGGTGCTTCTGGCAGGCTTAGGGCCCAGCCGGGGTGGAGGAGAGAGAGGACGAGAGGAGACCCCCCCCCCCAACCTGCTCCCTTGGGCCTGGCCCTCTCAGTCCCAGTCTCATGCAGGATGATTGGTCTCCCTTGGATTGGGCCTGGCTCCATCCTCCCCCTCCCCCCAGTCTCTTCCAATGTTACCATTTCCCTTCCCTGTACCTGTTAGATGGTGACCCATGTGGGAGGGTATCAGATGTGGAGCTTAGAGGGAGAAAAGCGACAGCCAGGTGTAGGGCATTTCACAGAATGAGAGACCATCGGCGTTCTTTACCTGTGGTTTTAGCCCCATTCCTGAGGCCCAGAGATGGGGTGCCTCACCCAAGGGCTCCCAGCTCAGGAGCAGTAATCGGGCTTCCCTCCCATCCCTCATCTCTGCTCTCCTCCAGTCAGAGGCACAGTCTCCCAAAGACCCCGGAATCACTACCCCTCCTGAGGTCTGGCCGGGAGACTTCCCAGCCCCAGGACCATGTGGGTGGGCAGGAGGGGCACTGGTGGTGGTATGTGGTGGCCACCCATGGACGCTGACTGAGCACCTGCCCACCCAGGCCCTGTGTCATTGGGAGGCAGCCCCTGGCCAGAGCTGGATTTGAATTCTGGTTCTTTCTGACTTCAGGCCCACAAAGACCTGAGTACAAATCCAGCCTCAGACACAGCCTGGCAAGTAGTTTTGTCAGCTCCTGCCAGGCTTGTTGTGAGCATCAAGTGAGCCAACATGGGGAAAGTCCTTAGCACAGAGTAGGCTGGCCCTCATCGTTTCGTCTGGCCATCACTTCCTCTCTGGGCCTCTCATCTCCACTGTCAGATCTGGGAGAGTGTAGAACAGTCAGGTGATGTGCAGGTCGGGGGATGGTGAGCATGAAGAGAGCAGTAGCCCGGGCTTGGGAGCCTTGCTGACCTCTGCCTGCCTTTTCAGGGCCGCTTCACCATTGCAGCCAAACACCACATCTCCATTGCTGAGATCTACGAGACGGAGCTGGTGGACATTGAGAAGGTCAGCAGGGGGGTGGGGGGGGCAGAAACTCCTTCCCTTCCCCATCCCACTCCTTTCCAGGATAACGCCTCCAGCTGCTGTCTCTCTCCACAGGCCATAGCTCATTATGAGCAGTCTGCAGACTACTACAAGGGGGAGGAGTCCAACAGGTAACTCCCTTTCCCAAGCCCTCGCGTCCCATGCCCAGACTGGCGGGATTCGCTCCCGACCCTCACCATGCCCTTCTCCCCACAGCTCTGCCAACAAGTGCCTACTGAAGGTGGCTGGCTATGCTGCTCAGCTGGAGCAGTACCAGAAGGCCATTGAGATCTATGAGCAGGTGGGTGACACCCAGGCCCCCTGATCTTCCTCTGTCCCTTCTTCTGTCCTCCCGTGGCTCACCTGGTCTCCCTGCCCAATGAATGGCACCAGAGTGAGAGGCAGAGGGTTGGCTGGGAAGAAGGACATCCCAAGTGCTGCTCTGGGCCTCAGCCTGGAGCTGGCACCACAGGGTTTGGGTCAGCTCCTGGGAAGTGAGCTGGGGGCCTGGGGCTGGGTGCTGTCAGCCAGCCTCCTCCCAGCCAACGCAAGAATCCCCTCCTGCTGTGGGAGGTACTTGTGTGCCCTGTCCATGGTGGTCCAAGGACAGCACCTGTCTGTGGCCTCCTTTGCGTCCAACCCATGGAGCCGGGGTGGGGAGACTGAGGGTAGGAGAGGTCCCCAGTCCAGGAGCAGGGGATGCAGATGGCAGAGAGGCAGAAGCCAGCCTGGGCCACACAAAATGGTCACCTTCAGTAGGGGACCACCGAGCTTCAGCAGGAGCTTGGAGCTGACCCCCGTCAATGCAGCTGTGGTTTACTCCCTCCCCTCCTGTGGAGCCCATTGGTTGTTATGTTCTCTGGGGTCACATGTCACAAGCCCCCAATTTTAAGATCCTGGGCACCTAAAGCCCTGGGAGAGGCTCTTGGAGCAGATGAGTGGACATACAGTTGGGAGGAGTGTGCTGGGAGGGGTTGGTGGAGACCCACCCCAACTTTGACATTCCCCAGGACAGAGAGGAAGGAGATAATGTCTTAGTGATGGAGGCTCCTAGTGGCTGTGGGGGGATGGGAGAGATTCCTGCCACGTTTGGCGGGCTCAGCCTGATCTAAGAGTGAGGCATCTGGGAGTGGGGGAGAGATGGGCAGGCATTCCTCCCGAACCATCTTTCAGCTGCCCCTCAGCGCCCCTGCTCTGCCAGCCTTCCCCTTCCCATCGTGGAGCAGGCGCTGTGTGGGGTGGACATCTGGGTCCCCATGGTGATCCGAGTACAGGCTGCCTTCTGCATCCTCCCTCCCACGCCTGCATCGCGTGGATGCCTTTTAGCAGGGGCCTTCGGGGCTCGTGGGTGCCCAGAGCCACGGTTCCTGCCAGGCCCAGGCCCCCCGGGCAAGCCCCTTCCTTCTGTCGTCTGCAGGTGGGGACGAATGCGATGGACAGTCCCCTGCTGAAGTACAGCGCGAAGGATTATTTCTTCAAGGCTGCTCTTTGTCACTTCTGCATCGACATGCTGAATGCCAAGGTGAGTGGCCCTGAGCCCCCCATTCCCCCTCTGGGCACAGCCAGCCCAAGGTGCTTGTGGGTAGTATGGGCACTGGGATTCTGCAGGCCCCTTATTTCCCCTGCCTCGGTAGCGAGTGGGACCTTTCTTAATGGAGTCACCATCCCCCCCCACGTGACATTCCACTCCTCTCATACCTCCATTTTGGGACCCCAAACCCTCCTTGTTCTGGCACATTTCTGAGGCCTTCTGGAGGCAGCGGAGAGGGACAAGAGCTGGGGTTTCAGGTGAGCGGGTGGACGGGGGACGCCACGTTTCTTCTCCCCCTCCAGCCTCTCCCTGCCCCCATCAGCCACCCTCTGTTCAGAAGCCCCGCTTGACACGGGGACATAATCTCTCTGGAGGTAGAACTGGGCAGAGTGCCGGCCAGCACAGCCCCAGCAACAGGATGAGCCTGGGTTGCCGTGGCAACGAGGTTGGTCCCTGAACCCCTGTGCTGAGGAGTGGCCAGCCACTTCTGGCATTGATCTTTTTCTTGTCTCCCTCCCTATCCCCCATCCTGCCGCTGCGTGCTCAGTTGGCCGTACAGAAATACGAGGAGATGTTTCCAGCTTTTTCTGATTCCCGAGAATGCAAGCTAGTCAAAGTGAGTGCCAGCGGCTTCCCCCTCCCCAGGGGTGCGGGTGGAGGTGGGGGCTAGGCATACGGTCATGTCTTCATTAAGGTTGCTCGTATTTGGCAACCTTTTTCCACACGCATCTCTTCCCCTGTCCGTGGAGAGCGTTAGTTATCCAGAGCCCTGAGAGGGGAGGGCAGACTGGAACCCAGGTCCTTTTGGCTTCCAGGCCAGCTCTGTCTTCAATATCTGTCTCGTGTAGCAGTAGTAGTACTAGTAATAGCTAACACTTATGTAGCACCTGCTGTGTGCCAGGCACTGGGTAAATGCTGTATAAATATCTCCTATGATCCTCACAGGGGAAGTGCTGTTATGATCCCTATTTCACAGATGAGGAAACTGAGGCAAAGAGGTGAAATGACTTGGCCAGGGTCACACAGCTAGTAAGCTTCTGAGTCAGGATTTGAATTTGGGTTTTCCTGAGTGGGTGTTGCCGCACGCCGCCCCAGGCTGGCTTCATTTTTGCTCTCTTGTCCACACTGGGCCTGCAGTTGCTGTGAATTTGGGACCCCTAGGACCCGAGCCCCATTTCCCTCTTAACTCTTCTCTCTACAGAAACTCCTGGATGCCCATGAAGAACAGAATGTGGATGGCTACACTGAGTTGGTGAGTGGCTGCCACGGTGGGAGGGCTCCTCGTGTCCCCCCTCCCCAGGAGGAGCCCGGGAAGGCTTCTGGTGCCTGCCGGCCGGTGATGGCTCCCTCTCTCCCCCATCCCAGGTAAAGGAGTACGATTCCATCTCGAGGCTGGACCAGTGGCTCACCACCATGCTCCTGCGCATCAAGAAGACCATCCAGGGGGACGAGGAGGACCTTCGCTAGCCCCCCCCCAGCCCGGCGGGCCTTTGTCCTCCATCGTTGGGCTCCCCCTGACCCCCCCCCTTCAGGGCTAAGAGATTGTAGGATGGGTGGGAGGAGGGAGGTGTGGGGAGGCCCTGCCTGGAGGCCTCTACCCAGGGGATTGAACCCCACAGCCAGAGGTCAGGAGGGAGGCCGCCGGAGCCTCGCCCCCTCCATGCCCCAGCACAGCTGCACAGAACCAGGACTTCAGCCTAACCCTCTCACCACGGAGGGCAGGGGGGATTCTCTGCTTCCCTTTGGCCCCCCTACCCCCGGGGGCCTCTCTGCTCAGGCTTTGCCCCTGCTTTCTATGCATCCTTTCCCCCAGGCCCCCCCCCTCCTCTCAGGTTTGGCCCTTTGGCCCAGGATGCTTTTCCCCTTCCCCTCCCGTGCCCGCCTCCCGCTGCGGGTGGGGGGGTGGGGCGTGGGGCTCAGAAGGTTCCTGTGCATGTCTCTGGAGCTGGTCGGATGGGAGGATGAATGGAGAGCAAAAATAAACGCTTTGGCATGAGCAGGCCTCGCCTTTCCTCTTGGGGTGGTCTGCCCACGTTTTTGGGTGGGCCCGAGCTGGGGGGGGGGGGGCGTGCGTGGAAAGCCTGAGTCGGGCTTCCCTGCTCTCGCGGGGACCCAGTTTCCTCGAAGAGGAATGGATTACAACCGGGGTGGGGGGGGGGTTCCCCCTTGAGGGGTCACGGGGACGGGTCCTCCCACGAGCACGCCCCTTTGTTCCCTCCTGCCCCAAACCACGGGGTGGGGGAGGGGAAGGTTAGGCATTCCCTGCGGGGGGAGGGGAGAAGGGAACCTCCGGCGTCATCGGTGCGCGCCACGTCGGCAGGCTAGGGGCCGCCATCTTGGTTGAGGGCGGTGTTGCCGCCTCCGCGACGTCATCACCCGGCGCCAGTCCCGCCGTCGGGACCAGTCGGGGCGGCTTGGTTGCTTCGGGGACCCCGCGGAGGCGATGTTAGCGGGCGCGGCGGGCGATCCGGGGCTGTGTCCCCTGGGTGAAGACAGCTTCACGCGCTTCTCTTCTCAGAGCAACGTGTACGGACTGGCGCGCGGCGCCCAAGGCCGCGGGGAGCTGCTGGCTGCCACTCTTAAAGGGAAGGTGTTGGGCTTCCGCTACCAGGACCTCCGACAGAAAATCCGTCCCGTGGCTAAGGAGCTGCAGTTCAACTACATCCCGGGTCCGCCCCGCGCATGCGCGTGAGGGACCGACCCTTTTCTTCACCCCCCCGTTTCTCCTCCCCCTCTCTCTGTGCTTGCAGCGTTTGTGCATGGCGGGGCTGGGGAGGGGGCGTGCGCGAGTCTGGCGGGGATTGAGGCACGCCCCCCCCCCCGGGGGGTTTGGGGGGGGGGGGGGGCCAAAGTGTATCAGGGTGGGAGAGAAGGGAGTGGGGTAAACTGGATGGATGGAGAGCGGAGAAGGAAAGGGCATGAGTTCCCCGTCATCCAGAGGTGCGGGTTCGTGGTGGCTGGGATGCCCAGGCTGGGGCACAGAAGACCGGAGTTCAAATCCTGCCTTTAGTGTTTACTAGCTGTGGAACCCTGGGCGCTCGGGCAACCCACTTCATCTCGCAGACTCAGTTTCCTCATCTGTCAAATGGGCAGTGGTGTGGCTCGAGCACCTCAGGGTCTTCTGGCAGAGCTAGATGACCCCTGGGTAGGGCAGAAGGATGCCAGGAGGGTCCCGAGGGGCCGTGGAGCCCAACCCCCTCCTTTTACAGATGAGGACACTGAGGCCAGGAGAGGGCAAAGGGGAGGCAGGATCTGAACGGGGTGCTGCGGGGGAGGGGAGAGGCCAGGAGGAGAGGGGAGACACCAGCCCGGTCCTTTTCTTCTGCCCTGCAGTGGATGCTGAGATTGTGTCCATCGACACGTTCAACAAGTCGCCCCCCAAGCGGGGCTTGGTGGTGGGGATCACGTTCATTAAGGTGCCCGGACCCCCCCCCCCTCCCCAGACTCAGTTTCCTCCTCTGTGCAATGGGGCTGGTAAGGGAGGGTTGGGAGCGTCAAATGAGACAATGCCCAAAGTGGAAGCCAGTGTAGACACCCCTTCCTGGTCTGGGCCACCCTCCCATTTCACACCCTCGCCCCTAACCGCAAGAGTTGGGTGACGACTCCAGGCCTCCAAGGTGGTTCTGGCATCCTAAGACTTCTAGGCGCTCTATAGAGCGCTTGGCCTGGCGTCAGGCACTGACCAGCTGTGTGACCCTGGGCAAGTCACTTCACCTCTGGCTGCCTCAGTGTCCTCCGCTGTAAGGTGAGGGTTATAAAAAAGCCCCTCCCTCCCAGGGTTGTTGATCATATCTGTAAAGGGCTTAGCACAGGCCCTGGCACACAACTGGTACCTAATAAATGCTTATTCCCTCCCCTCCCTATGATTCCTGGGTCACAAGACCCTAAGGTTTTAAGGTCCTAAGGTCAAATGAGACAGTAGCTGCAAAAGGTGTAGCCAATGCCTGGCACGTAGTAGGTGCTTAATAAGTGCTTCTTCCGTCCCCTTAGTCTGTGGCCCTAAGGATGCTCCCCTCTCTCGCAGGACTCTGGGGACAAAGCCAGCCCCTTTCTCAATATTTACTGTGACTATGAGCCTGGATCAGAATATAACCTGGACTCCATTGCACGTGAGCCTGGGGCCGGCTCCTAGGGTTGGGGCTGGGGGCTGGGGGCTGGGGCGAGGAGGTGCATGCTGGGTAGGATCACATCCTGACCCCTCTGCATCCCTTGTCCCCATCTTTCAGAGAGCTGCTTGAACCTGGAGCTGCAGTTCACCCCTTTCCAGCTGGGCCATGCCGAGTAAGCCCTGGGCCCTGCGCCCCCACTGTCTCCTCTTTCAGCAGCATGGGTTGGAGGAAAGAGTCAGAGGCCTGGGTTCAGGTTCCAGCTTTTGCTCCTTCCTACATGTGTGACCTTGAGCATTGCCATTCCCCAGGCTTCAATTTCATTTGTAAAATGAGCTGTTGGACTGGATGAGCTCTGAAATCCCTCCCAGCCCTGACATCTCCTGTTCTAGGGCCCCTCCCAGCCTTGACATCCCCTGTTCTAGGGCCCATCCCAACCCTGACATCTCCTGTTCTAGGGCCCCTCCCAGCCCTGACATCCCCTGTTCTAAGGCCTCTCCTAGCTCTGACATCCCCTGTTCTAAGGCCCTCCCAGGCCTGACATTCCTTGTTCTCAGGCCCCTCCCAGTCCTGACATCCCCTGTTCTAGGGCCCTTCCCTGAGATTTTCTCCTTTCAGGGTCCAGGTTGGGGATCAGCTGGAGACAGTGTTTCTGCTCAGTGGGAACAACCCTGCCATTCATCTGTATAAGGAGGTGAGGCCTGGGGTTGGGGTGGCTCTGGATGGTGAGTGGATGGAGGAGGGCCTAGATAGATAGTCTGCCTGGTGTGTGTGCGTGTGGGGGGGGTGTGGCGTGTGCATGTGTGTGGTGCATGTATGTATGTGCACATGCATGGTGTGTGTTGTGTGTGTGCGGTGTGTGCACATGTGTGTATGTGGTATGTGTGGTGTATGTGTGTGCACGCACATGGTGTGGGTGTGGGTGTGTGGGTGTGTGTGTGCAGGCGGTTCCCGCCCCTCAGCCCAGGCTGTCCCGCCCCAGAACGAGGGTCTGCACCAGTTTGAGGAGCAGCCGGTGGAGAACCTCTTTCCCGAGCTCACAGACCTGAGCAGCAGGTAGGCTGGGGGCGGCACAGAGGGCAGGGCGGGGGGAGGGGCCCTTGAGCAGGGGCTCACGCGGCTGCGGGGGGGCCCTCGGCAGCGTTCTGTGGCTCCACGTGTCCAACATCCCGGACTCCAGCCGGCGACTCACCGCCTTCGGCTGCCAGAGTGGTTACGTCCGCCTTGCCCACGTGGACCAGACCACCAGAAGTAAGCCCCCTGGGCTGGGGAGCGGGGCCTGGAGGGAGGGGCTGGGGCCATCTCTGATCCCCCCTCCCCTCTTCCTGCCTCCCCAGCTGTGCTGCACACCTGGACGGTCCAGCAGGATGGACCCATCTCCCGCGTGGTCATCTTCAGCCTCCCTCTCCCTGCAGCCGACCCCCCAGCCCCCAGGGAGGAGGGGAAAGGTGAGGGGTCCTGTCTGCATGTGGACTCCTTGACCGGCCAGCCCCCCACTCCCATCTACGTCTAGCTGTCTTCTGATCTCTGAATTTCCCAGATCCCACAATTCCCAACAACCCCTGCCCTTGGGTCCCCTCACCCTCACCTTCCCATGGTGTAGGAGACTAGAAGATGTGGACGCAGGGCCCAGGCGCTCCCATGTGGATGCCCTCTCCCAGCTCCGTCCCCTTCCTCCCCTAGAGGCCAAGGGGCCGCCCCCACCCCCAGAGGAGTACAGCGTCCTGGTGGCCAGTATGATGGAGCCAGCTGTGGTATATCGGTGAGAGGACCCGGGCCGGGGCATGGTGTATGCCCTTGACACCCCTTCCCTCCCCTGGACTTTGAGGGGCTGAGACCAAGGCTGGTGGAGAAGAAAGTCCTCCTCCTGAGGGGTTGGGGAAGGGCTTGGGGTCTGGAGACAAGGCCTCTAGGGAGCGATTAGGGATGAGTGCCTCACAGTCCTCGCCAGGGAAGAGGGTGTCTAGGCCTCAGGCAGTGGGAGGGGGAGGAGCCTTGCTTCCAGAATGTCTGACCCAGAGCCTAAATCTGCCCCGCCCTTGGATGGCTGAGAGGTGACCTGCCTAGGCTGAAGCCTAGCCCTTCCCCTCTTGCCCCTGGGGCCCTAGGAACGTCCTGTGCCATGGGCTTCAGGATCAAGTGCTGCTGCCAGGGAGTGACCAATTTGACAGCGTGCTGTGTGGGCTTGTCACCGACGTGGACCTAGATGGGAAGCCTGAGATTCTGCTGGGCACCTATGGCCAGGTGTGCCTTGTCAAGTTCTACTTTCTGTACTTCTGCCCCTCTGTGCCTCCCCCATCTTTGTTTCTTAGGTCCTGATCTGACCTTCCCTGTAGTCCAACCCTTGCCTCTCCACTCTGGTCTAACCTCTGACTTTTTCACTCTGGTCTAACCTCTTTACTTCTCAACACACTGTTACTTTCATCCTTTTCATTGTAGTTTGACCAACAAGCATTTATTAAGCACCTACTGTGTGCCAGGCACTGTGCTAAATGCTGAAGATATAAAGAAACGAAAACAATCTGTACTCTCAAGGAGCTCACGGCATAATGGAGCCAGGGACAGAGGGTTCATGGGTTCAGGGTTCAGGTGATGGAGTGTTTGGTGTGAGGAGGGAAGTGCCAGGAGGCCAGTATCACTGGATTGGAGAGGATGTGATGGAGAAATCAGGTGTGACAAGGCTGGAAAGGTGGGAGGGGGCAGGCTAGGAAGGGCTTTGAATGCCAAATAGAACATTTTGTATTTGCTCCTAAAGGCGATAGGGGGCCATCGGAGTTTACTGAGCAGGGGGTGACGTGATCAGACCTGCATTTTAGGAAGTCCCTTTGGTGGCCGAATGAGGATGGATTGGAGTAGGGAGAGACCTGAGGCCGGCAGAGGCCCCAGCAGCTATTGCATTTATCCAGGGGTGGGGGCCATACCTACAGGGAGAAGGGGGCAGATTCAGGAGATGTCCTAAGGGTGAAAATGATAGGCTTCGGCGCCATATTGGATGTGAGGGGTGGGGGAAAGGGTGAGGAGCCCAGGATGACTGCTAGGTTGTGAGCCCAAGGGATGGGAGGAGGCTGTTGTCCTGGGCAGTAACAGAGGAGGGGGAGGCTTAGGGGGAAAGATCACGAGGTCAATTTGGGACACGTCCAGTTTGAGGTGTTTGAAAGGCAATTGGAGATGGGAGATTGGGGGTCAGCAGAGAGACTGGGGCTGGGAAGGTAGATGTAAGAATCATCAGCAAAGAGACAGATGGTC